ACTCTCGGGCGAGGCGTCTGTCTCCAAGTATCTCCCCCATTCCATAAGGGGTAGGGAATTTCCACTTCTGATGGTAGGAGGAAGGTACGGACTTGAATGTATGGATGGCTGGCCTTCCTAAAATGATGTTGTAGGGAGATGGCTTGTCGACGATGAGGAATTTGATTAGCTTGGTGATTCGACAAGGATCTTCCCCTAAAGAGACGGGCAGCTCTACTTCTCCCATGGATAAAATGCCTTCTCCCGTGAATCCTTTCAGGGGTGTGGAGACGGGATTAAATCGGGCATTATCTATGCCCAGCTGCTTAAAAGCGTGGAGGTACATGATGTCAGCCGAACTTCCACCGTCCACTAATATCTTCTTGACCAAGAAGTTGGCCACCGTTGTTGTTACTACCAATGCATCGACATGGTCTTCATCTGGACCTTCGAGGTCGGAGGAGTTGAAGACTATGCTGTGATCAGGTCTTCGTATTTGATATATGCGTTCGGATGGAGAAGCGCGTTCTTGATTCATGCGCGCTGATCGAGCGAGTGTGCGTCTTGCATTCTGTGAATCGCCTCCCGCTGGTCCTCCGGAGATGAAGGAGATGATTCCCCGGGTAGGCTGGTTATCATTGTTATCTAGGTCACGTCGGTGACCCCCATCTTCTCGTCTTTGTTGTTGATCTCGATTGTTATCTCGGCGTGGAGGATCATCGCGGCGTTTATTTCGCGGCTTATCGACGTATTCGCCTAAATGGCCCTGTTTGATCAGCCTCTCAATCGCCATTTTGAGTTGTGCACATTCCTCCGTAGTATGCCCTTTGTCCTTATGGAATCGACAATAGCGATCCGACTTTTCTCGCTTTGCATTCGGCTGCATAGGGCGTGGAGGCTCCGCTAAACCTCTCTGTTCTATCACGTGAAGGATTTCAGTGAGGCGAGCGTTTAACGGAGTGAACCTATTGTAGGAAGAGGAGGGTTGGCTTGGAGGTGGAAGTGGTGGACGTCGGTCATCACGCCTCCTATTGTCCTGACGGTCATCTTCCCTTTTCCTTTTAGGGGGAGCGTGGGTGGAGGCTTCCTCTATCCTGACGTACTTTTCGGCTCGATTTAACAACTCCTCTAGGTTGCCTGGTGGTCTTCCGGCAATAGATTCCTTGAATCTACCCGGTTTCAAGTTCTGTTGCATAATCCCTGAGAGCATGTCTTGCCCCACACTGGGGACTTCATGGACGGCTTCTACGAAACGTTTGATGTAGTTGCGGAGCGTTTCGTTATCTCTTTGTACTACTGAGAAGAGATGAGCTGGGGTTTTGGCATATTGTTTGTTGATAGCGAATTGGTTGGTGAACCGGGTTGACAGCCGAGCGAAGGTGTCAATCGACCCTATGGGTAGAGAGTTGAACCAATTCATCGCCCTCTTGGAGAGAGTGGTACGGAACATTTTGCACATCGCAGCATCCGTCGGGCCGTATAAATCCGCCATGGCACTGAATTTCTCAATATGTTCCTGTGGGTCGGTGGTCCCTTCGAATTGAGGTAACCCCGAGATCTTTACTCCTTGAGGTAATACCTCGTTGAGGATGTCTATGGTGAAGGGACTGCGTCTTGCTGGGAGAGGCATCCTCTCACCCCTTTGATTATTTGGTTGGGAGAAAAGGTTTTGGCGAGACATTCGGCTGTTTACTTCGCCTTCTCCCTCATTAAAAAGAGGGATTCTTGGTGGTGATGCATTCCCCCGTAGGGGTGAGCGCCGACGTTGTTGTCTGGGCTGTGCTCCTCTGTGATTAGTAGATAGCTGCACTCGGGACCGTGGGTCCGACGTAGAGGAGGAGACACTTATTTGATTCTGGATCGGCGGTGGGGCCACTGGTAGTACTATAGGTGGAGCTTGTGCTGGTATCGCATTGGGAGCGTTTGCTCCCATCGTGGCGATATATTGGGTTACGGCCTCCGTGGCGGCGCGAGTAGAAGCTTCCGCTATCATACGTTGGAGTGCGTCCTCGGTTATCTGAACCGTTCGAGGAGCAGGGAGTGGTGGATCGGCGAGTGGTGGGTCCCGAGGGGGGATCACCTGAACCTCGCGAGGTGGATCTGCAGTACGTGGAGGAGCTGGCTCCGTGGCACGTGGAGGAAGTTGCTCCGCGGCGCGTGGAGGAAGTTGCTCCGCGGCGCGTGGAGGAGGTGGGATGCCAGATCCTCCACGGGCGGGGAGGTTATTAGCTGTGTCGTTTTCTCTCCGAGCTGATGCCTCAGGAGGATCTTGTTGGCTACGTGATCTGGTTTGCATCGTTCCCACAGACGGCGCCAAAATGATGATGCTAAAATATAGCTCACCTAGGATAATGTAGAAAACAAGCTGGGAGAGCAAAGCTGATCAGTAGCTAGTCAATTCGATGCTCCTGAGGTCCCTACAAAATGAGCACACGTGAACTAAGCCGGGGGTTGATCCGGCGGAAACCCCTCCGACGCTCAAGTCAGATGTACGGATCGTAGAGAGAGTAGAGAGAATAAAACTCGAGGTGAATTGTCAATAATGAGAACGTACCTTAATCAATGAATAAAACATCTATTTATATGTTGTTAAATGGGTTGGGCTTCCTTTGTTGGGCTCAAGCCTTACTTTGAAGGAGCTTGGGCTTTCGTGTAATGGGCCCACTCGTATATGATTGGGCTTTCATGTAGTGGGCCTAATTAGTAGATAAATTTGAGGGCCCGTTGGGCCGGCCCATTTAGGTGTATCATTAAGTAGAAACTCGATAAATTAAAATAGTAATTTCTTTCAGTCCCGACTCGATAAAAATATAATAAATTGATAGTTCGATAATTTAATATTTTGCTAAATTAATAGAATTTTACTAGTCATAACTGTTTTAATTTATAGATGATTAACTGCACATGCTTTTATTTTACTTATATATATTTGTAAACCATTAGTAAAGAGATTCGAACATCTGATATCTCTTGAGGATGAGAGAAGTTTATGTACTATTACCAAATGAAGTTGATCGATGTACCGATTTCTACCAAATTGCCATTTTCTTCAATGGTTACTATATATAATTATTGAATATCAATGTCCCTCGCTCAAAAAAAAAAAAAAATATCAATGTCCCAACATCAAAACAAGTATATTTCTTTTCATTAAAAAGAATTATTATATATATATATTTTGATAATTATCAAAACAAGTTATATTTCTTTTCATCCATTGAGAGCAATGAAGGGGTACAAATCAAAGGTACAAGAGGTTAAACCAATGTGGGACCCATGTTCCCTAACATTGGAGAAACTCATATAGACCACATGTAGGCTAATGAAGCCCCCACCCAAACATCTGCCAATGGCATTCTTGTAATAAAGTTGAGAAATTATGGGCAAATTAGTAGGATCATGGATATGTGAAATGTATATCTGATTCACGAATCCAACTATACTTGTACGGAATCTATAAATCTTTCATTAACTAACGCCGTTAACTAACCTGGCGTTGAGCGTTGATATTCTGTTAAATAGAATTAGGTGATTACTATATGGTTAAATAAACATTAAATTAATATAATTAAGGGATTAAACATGCAGCGAGCATGTGTCACGCAGCAGAACTTTCTGGAATTTGGATAAATATTAATTTTCCGGTCAATGTAATATTTTATTTATAAGATTCAATTCATATTCAATATGACTCATGAATAAATACTATAATGCTATTCTGTAAATTAGTAAATCATGTAACTAATGATTCTTTATTTGTTCAATCTAATTAATTTCATTTTGGGGGAATTTTTATTTTCAACATTATCAATTCTATCCTTATTAACTATCTGCAGCGCAAAGCTCTCTTTTTAAATCTTTTTTTTTTCTTCTCCTATATATTAATTCTACTTGTAACAATTAAAACAATACTTCAATTTTTAATCTTTTACTCCATATGTGAACGCATATTCAACATTAATATACACTCCACTTGTATCTACAATCAATTCATTATGAAATTAAAGAGGGGGTTATGTCCTTTTTATATTGATATTGCCGGATCCCACCTAATTAATGAAAGATAATGACTAATTAATAAATGTGGAGGAAATATATTAGTGGGAGGTTTATTGGGGAGAGGTTAGTGGAGACAGGGCAATTTAGTCTAAGATTATATTGTTTTTTGAGAATTAAGTAATGTTTAATGACATTCTTAATTCATGTATATCAGGTTATTTCTATGCTACACCAGATGAATGTTACACTGGGACACCTCACACCAGTGTGAGTATATGTGTATTTGTGTGCTTATGAATTGTAAAGATTTACTCAATCTATTTTACTCGATATAGCATCGCATAAACCATGTACATCATAAAAAAATTCAATTATACGAATACAAATGGAGTAATTGTTTCCAATAAATCCATAGTGATAAAAACATGAAAAAAATGCAAATAATGTAATATTGAAATTCTAAAATTGATAAATAATTTCGCATAAACAAATTACTCAAAAAGACAAATAATTGGGGAAGCATGGAGTAATAAATAGAAAAACACACATTGTTACACCTTCGTTTGCAAAATAAGTATCGTTTTGGCTTGTTGCACTAAACACATGCTGAAATAAAAGTAAAAGACCAATAAATATGCGTGGATTTTAATGAAAATATACCATGTGTCTAAAATATCCATGTCATTAATTATCTCTCAACTAATCAAGAGGCAAATTCGCAAGAAAATAGTAACTAATGCATCACTGAAATTACAAAGTCAAAAATAATACAAATATCCAAAAAGCTAATTGTTAATCTGGAACGGATAAAGTAAAAAAAGATGTTCATGCCTTTCAAGGACTCGCAGCAACTGTAATTAATTTTAATTGCTTATTAATAAAAAAGGACTCTTTCTAGTTTGTTCCGTTAGAATAATGTAACCCAATTTCGTCCGTTAAAGTAAAACTAAAATCTCACTTGGATTAGAAGAGGAATTGATGTAATTAACTTAAACAAAGTATAAACACACTCCCCACAACAATTATAACTCCTGAAACTAAACTCCGTTTACCCTCCGTCAAGTCCACCCGAATATTCCTCCCCCAATATTCCAACTACCAGTTTCTCTCTCTATAAATGTACCCCACACCCGCGCACCCACCGTACGTACTGAATTAACCTTTTAGAGAGAGAAAAAGAAAAGAAACAACAAACAAGAGAGAGAAAGTAATGAGTCGTGCGCTAGAGAGAGAGTACAGAGTGGGAGAGGAGATTGGGAGGGGCAAGTACGGCGTCGTATCAACCTGTCACTCCTCCGTCACCGGTCAGTGCTTCGCCGTGAAATCCATCGACAAGCGTGTCATACAAAACGACGCCGTCGACAGCCAGTGCATCAGCAATGAAGCCAAGCTCATGCAGCTCGTCTCCGGCCACCCCAATGTACTGTCGATCTTCGATGTTTACGAGGACGACGATTTTCTTCACTTTGTTTTGGAATTTTGTGGCTCCGGCGATCTCTTCGAACGGATCACCGCCCGACCTGTTTTCGGTGAATCCGAGGCTCGCCGAATTATGGTAGGTTCTTCCTTAATTTTTTTTTCAATTTTTTAATTTTTTAATTTTTTCAGTGTAGGTAGTAAAGAAGCTAAAGAAAAACTGTTAATGAATTCTTCTAAACCCTAGGTTTTTGGGGTCACATTGTACCTGATAATTTTGATTTTGGGGTAAAATTAGGGATCTCTCTAACCAAGTGGTTTGATTTTAATTATTTAAATCTGTTCTTAATTAAGAAAAATTTCTCCTAAACTTCCGTTTAATTATCATGCAATTGTTGCCCCTGAAATTTTATTTCTTACCTTATTGTTGTTGATGATGAATTTTGCAATTTAAGATTTTAAGTTAATAGCTCTGTATAAAATCTTCTTGATCTACTGCAATTTTAATCTGCAGATTACTTTCCTTACAATAAGATATTGCTCCCACACATGCTTACATACGCGTTCAAATTCTCGTACAGGTTCCGTTAATGGAGGCGATAGCTCACTGCCACCGCCTCGGAGTAGCCCACAGAGACGTAAAACCAGACAACATCCTCTTCAACAGTTACAACCAGCTGAAACTCGTTGACTTCGGTTCGGCCGAGTGCTTCGGTAACGGAGGACTTATGTCTGGTATTGTGGGTACGCCTTACTATATTGCCCCTGAGGTGGTATCCGGTAGGCCGTACGATGAAAAAGTTGACGTGTGGAGTGCAGGTGTCATTCTGTACATAATGCTGGCCGGAATCCCGCCTTTTTACGGGGAGTCGGCTAAGGAGATTTTCGAGGCTGTGCTGAGGGCAAATCTGAGATTTCCTAGGAGCATCTTTGCCTCGGTTTCTTCCGAAGCTAAGGATCTGCTGAGACGCATGCTTTCCAAGGATGTTTCTAGAAGGTTTTCGGCCGATCAAGTCCTGAGTAAGCACTCCGTGTTTTTCTAGAATTAACTATTGTTGTTATTAAGGCCTCGTTTGGTTGTTAAGATTAGCCATGGAATTGGGCTTTCATTAGATTATTTAATCTTATCTTGGCTACTCTTATCTTGGGAACCAAACGAGGCCTAAGAATTCTAATTCATGAATGCACAATAATTTTTAGGAGAATAAATAAGGTATAATGGCGAATTCTGAAGGTGCAGATAATACGGACATGGCCATGGGAAAGTTGAAGAATGACGATTGGGAAAGTTGTACGAAAATAAATCGAATGCGACTTAATTCCTTGTTTCTAATTTTTACATGATTTGATAGTAATATATCTGTCCTTATTGGATTAATTTATACAGGGCATCCATGGATGACGAGCGGATGAGGATCGAGAGAAATGGATATTCTGGTTGAGAAGAAGCTACGAGGTTTACGAGACGAGTAGAAAAACCGTATAGGCGGACGCCCCTTGTTCATATACTTACCTACATATATAATAATAATATAATATAACTAGTAGAATCAAGAGTACTCTGCCACAAAGGTTTTTGTACAAACTTTGTGGAGGGAAGCAAGAGCTCAAGAAATGGCAAGAACCTTCCAGGCTTATATATATGGAAGTGTTCATATAATCTCACCTGCCATTTTTGCCCCTTGTTTTTTTTTTCTTTTTTCGAATCGATGAGTATGGAGAGAGGGACTTTTTTGTAAATTCGCTTCTGTTCGAACATGTAATGTAGTTTCTTTTAGTATATGTTTGCTCTTTGAGTAAGATCTTGGTCTTCTATGCTTGCTCTAATGTTACATATCATATACTATACTCGTGACTCGTTAAAGTTCTACCGACCAAATAGCAGGGGCTAGTATTATATATTCGGTTGATAAAATTCATACTTTTTCAAACCCGTTATTAAATGCTACTATTTCATTAAAATAAATTAGTGGCACCCCTCCCCCATGTTATTAATCTAACAGGGGTGACGAAACAAGTAAAATACTGTTTTATCCTTCAAACTACATGTTAATTTTATTAAATAAAAACGTTTTTATGGACAAATCACGTATAATACCAGAACTAAAAATATTTAATACAAGATTTAATCCAATGAAGTACGACGACTTTGAAACATAGGAAAAACGGGGAAACGCATGATCAAGAGGGAAACTGTCGACCTACCCGAAGAAATAGTCGAAGAAATCCTGGACCTACCCGAAGAAATAGTCGAAGAAATCCTGCACCGTCTGCCGATAAAATCCCTGTTGAGGTTCAAGTGCGTTTCGAAATGATGGCGTTCCACGATCTCGAGCGAAGTATTCATCAAGCACCACATGAAGAAGAATTCGAACACGAAGCTGATTTGTCTCTCTTATCCCTACAACACTCACCGGTCGTGTTCTCTCCGACCGTTACTCGATGGTAATAATAATAATCCCGTTACAATCACGAGTTTGGATCGGCATCCGGTTGGACACTTTATCACCTCATGTTCCGATCCATCCGAAGAGGAATATTCCATGATCCATAATTTGAGTGTACTATCCGTTAATATCTTGGGATCGTGTAACGGGCCAGTACTCGCCACCGTTAATTGGAAATACTTAATTATATGGAACCCTTCGACTAGAGAGGCCAAGAATATCATTTGTTTTGTAGGTGGAATCGTACGTGAGCCGGGGTATTTCGTGTACGGGTTCGGGTGCGATGAGCACACTAACAACTATAAGATTGTCCGTTTTTTCTTCTCCGTCAGCACCTGTCACGCGGAGATGTATAGTTCGAGGACCAATTCTTGGAAGAAAATCGAGAATTATCACAAGGTATTTGAGTATGGTTATTCGGGCAAGTTTGTGAACGGAAGGCTGCATTGGATGGCGGTGAGTAGAGGATGTTATACTAGTTGGGAGATCGGTTCTCTTGATTTGGTGGAGGAAAATTTTGGAACCTTGGCTAGGCCCGATTACTTTCTGAAATATAGTTCTCGACCGAATTTGGAGAATTTGGGAGGCTATCTTAGTTTGATTTGTTTTGACGACGGTAACAACATACATATTTGGGGTATGACAAAGTACGACGAGGCAGAATCTTGGACCAAGTTTTGGACACTTTTTAACTGGATTGAGGATTTTAAATATTATGCAACGACTACCCCGTTCTGGGTTACGAAGAATGGAGATACTGCGGTGGCTTTTGGACCATACATAATTGTTTTTGATAAAAAAGACGAGTCAGCGTCAATCTCGAATTCGTGTGGATCGGTTGAGGTTAGATTTGGATGCTATTTTAAAGTGCCCGAGATTCAAATTGGGCCTCACTTATTCGTTGAAAGCTTAGTTTCACCATTTGGAGACGAGCATCCTGCGAAGGAGCTACGAGATTTACGAGACGAGTAGAAACCGTATACTAGTACTCAGGTTTTTGTACAAACTTTATGGAGGCAGCAAGAGTTGAAGAATGGCAAGTACCTTCCAGGCTTATTTATATGGACCTTGATATATTATTAATAAAAATCATTTTTTTTTATTTCATTATATTTTTTATTAATGAAATAATCATATATTCATCACAACCATCGCGAGAATTTGAAAAAAATAGAAATAATAATAATAATAATAATAATAATAATAATAATAATAATAATAATAATGATAATAATAATAATAATAATAATAATAATAATAAATTTGAAAAATCATAAATCAAAAATTGAATCGATGGAATTTTATGTTTTTTTTTTCAATTTGCACAATAAGTCAAGACCAATCAAAAGTGGTGACAAAAGAATTTATTGAAGTCAAATCGGACCGTCCTTTTTTTCCTCTGCAGCGCCCCCTTCAATAGAATCTGTGCACCCCTCTAATTCTACTTCCACAGAGTACTCGTACTCTCTGATTCTAAAAGCGAATCTATTTTTCCGACATAAAATTTCTTCAAAAAAAAAAGTCAACACCATCGTCAGCAGCAAATTGCAGAGATGGGTAGCAGAAGATTCGAATCTTCGAATTACAGAAATCCATGTTTAACGATGCATCAGCCATGGGCTTCTTTACTTGTTTATGGCATCAAACGCATCGAAGGCAGATCCTGGCCCTCCCCCATTAGAGGTATTTAATTTTGCTGATTCTCAATTAGGGTTTCAATTCATTCAATCTCCCAAATTAGGGTTTAGTTGTTCATTTTGCTGATTCGAATTAGGGTTTGAATTCATTCATTCCCCCAAATTAGGGTTTAGCTGTTAATTTTGCTGATTCGCAATTAGGGTTTGAATTCATTCAATCGCCCAAATTAGGTTTTAGTTTAGTTTTTTTGCACTGCAGTATGAATTTAGGGTTGTGAGATCACCAAATTTGAGGAATTTAGGTTATTGATACAACTCTGATTAGGAGATTTGGAGTTATGTAGTTTTGTGTATATATGTGTGTTGTGTATGTATATATGCGCATGTAAATGCGTTTATAGATTTTAGAACGGAGATAATATTACATGTTTGTCCTTTTCATTTCCCCTCCAAAAGGACGACTCTGGATTCATGCTGCTGGGAAGGTTCCGGAAGCTGAGACGATAAAAGCTATGGAAGATTTTTACCGAGAAATTTACGCAATGAATGGAATTACGGATATTAAATTCCCCGAGCATTACCCTGTCTCGAGACTCCTTGGTATTAAATTAATTATATATATTCATGTAAATATTTTATTGCCTGATTATTTCAATGTTACGAATACGTCATTTTTTAATTTTTTTTATCAGGTTGTGTTGATGTAGTTGGTTGTGTTACGTGTGAAGAGCTAGTGAATTGGGAAGATGTACCTGCATCGGTAAAAGCTTCTAGAATATTCTATTCGTGTTAGTTTTTGGTATAGCTTACTCTTGATTTTATCGGGCTTAATTGTTTATGCTCGTTTATTTTTGAATCTTTTGAATTCAGGTGAGATTAGAAGGGCAAACAGCTTTCTGTTGGCTTTGCGAACAACCTCAGGTTTTTTCTTCAAATTCTGATGGTTTTAGTTTGGTGTTTATTTCGTAATTAATTATTATTTTTGGCTTAATGAAGAAATTAAGTAATTACGAATGTTAATTAATCCACGCAGAAATTGATAGTGCCGTTTGAGATGCGCGGGCAACAAGGTGTTTATAATCTTGAAAGGAAGGTAATATTATGAGAAACCATTGTGTATATTTTTTTTTGGTTTCGGCTTGATTTTCAAATCGCCTTACGATTTATTTGATTTTTTTTTTTTTTTTTTTTGGAAAATTGCGATTTATTAGATATATGAAGCGGCTGTGAGAGGTCTCTGTTCGGTGGAAGCTCCGTTACCGGTGAAATTTCCGCTTCCAAATCCACAAGATCGTTTTTCTTTGAAACCGTGCTCACTTGCTTCTCGTTCGAATTCCGTGTCCGAAGAGGAGAAATCACCTAATCTTGTGGCGGCAATTGCCGGTGCTAGAGCTGCTGCAACTCAATTCTCGAAAAATAATAACAATAATTTGCAATCTTTTAACGGGGCCGATATTGAAGGCGAAAAGACGCCTGTGTCCTCTAGAACAAGGAATAAATCCCATGACAGGGTTCAATGAAAACTTATAAGTGGTGAAATATGGATTTTAAGGAAAGTTTACATGTAAATATCTAGTTATTATTTGTGTATCATATGTACTTTAGGAAGAATTTGAAGATTTTTAAATTTTGAATGAATACTTTGATTTTTTTTATTTTTTTTAATTTACGATACTAAATTCGAGATTGATTCGATTATGTTCGAACCAAAAAAAAAAAATCATTCATTAAGCTATGAAGCGCAACTCGAGCTCGATTAGAAGAAAAAAAATGACGAAAGAAATGGCTCGATTAAAACTTAAAACACGAATTTTCAAACTCGATAAAAATTAAAATAAACTTAAAACAATTATATTTTCGGTTCGACTCGATTTCTACATTCTTACCATCAATTAAATCTCAAGTTAATCAATAAGACAAAAAGTAATTAAGACATAAGATAAGAAAAGCTATCTCATAGATAAACTCGATTATTAAGAATCACTTATCATCACTTCACTTTTATGCAATGCTAGTCAACGATTACAAATTGTCCAAAATGCCCTTCGTTGCAATACCCCCAACGCCTATATAAAGAAATCGTGGCACACTCTCAACCAACACACAAAAAACATGGCTTCTCAAATATTCATCCTATTGCTAATCACTTTGATTAGTTTCCCAATTATTTCATATGGTTACTATGCTAATGAGAATAATTTGGATGCACAAACACTTTCTCTCACTAAAGATGAATCTCTTGTAGAGAGAGAAAGTGAGCTCCACATAATAGGGCATGACAAAGAAGATGGCCCCATACCATTTGAAATTAAAAGGAGAAATAACAGAAGACCACATCGTCCGGGCAAGAGGAGGCCGCCCCGCCCTAATCGCCGCCGGCCACCACCTCCTCCATCGGACGACGGTGACGACTGACGATGCTCGATAAATTTATTCGAGTGCTAGTATATGAGATACATGCATTATTGACTAGGAGGAAAAACTTCTAGCAAATATTTAATAAACATGTATCTAGATAATGAATAAAGTTGCACTTGTTTTAATTTGATTGTGTTTTATTTCTTTTTCTTTTTTTAAAATATATAGTTGCCTTTTATCACTTTTAATTCTTTTAATGCTTAATCATGATAAAAAAAAAAAAAAAAAACCTCCATATCTACATGCAGATAAAATCACATTTAATATCTCTCTACTTTACAAGAACACCTCACTATAAAAGGGTCATAAAATTCCAATTTTTCGTGAGCAAACAATAATATTCAGATTCCGTTTCATAAAAAAATCGGAAAAATAAAAATTGGAATTTGGGAAATTGGAACCAAAAAATTGTTCCAGAATCGAAAAATTTCGGATATCGAAATCGGTAGAAATTGAATATTCGTTCCAATTTGCACCTCTAAGTTGATTGAATTAACAAACAAAATTCGGTTGACTTTTAAACATAATAAATAATCGTTTCAAGTATCATTTTATTGAATTCATAAAAATTCATTTCTAGGTTACAAATTGTATAAACTAAGTTGAAGGAAAATGATTAAATTTGGCAATTTCTTTTATTAAAATAATTACCCAACAATATTATTACACGTGTCCATCACTTCCGACAAATGCTCGATACTTGTCTCTCCTGGTAAAATCACTGGCTTCGTATTTCAAACTCTGGGCAATCATTTTCTGGACATTATTCGCAATAATTTGGTGGCTGCTCGTTTTCCGGCCGGAAGAAGGTAACCTCGTACGCCGGAAAAGGGTTCATGTAGAAGAAGAAAGGGTCATCAAGCCACTTGTACCCCCTCGCCGTCGTTCCGTGGAACACGCTCGTTTTCACGGCGACCGCCACCGGCACGATCTGATCGGAGATCTCCGCGAACAGCGGCGAGAATATCAGAAGGTAGGGCCCACGGCCGGTTGTCTCCTCCGGGAACATCACCAATGATTTTCCCTCGTCCATAAATTTCCGTCCGATCAGTTTGGCGGCGGCGGAGTACGAGATGGTGGTGGTGGTTATGCGGCGGCGTCGAGGGTGGTTCTGTGGGAGCAAACGAACACCACTCCTCTTCCTCCGGTGGCGGCGGTGCCTTTGATTGTGATTGGGCAGGCGAGTAGATTCATGATATAGTAAGATAATGGGGATTTGTGGGAAAGCGAAGCGCTGAAAACGCGGAGGAGAGATAAGAGAACGCCGATGGGGAACCAGAGAACAACTAGCAGCGCCGTCAGTGGAGTGGGCTTCCCGACGAGTCGGCCGTCGTGGAAGATGACGGGCTTTGGGAATGCTTCCTTTCTCATATAATATTATTTTAATATATTATAAAATACAATATAATACTGAAATGTTAAATGTTGTCGTTTCAATTTGACCAATACCGTTTTGACTTCGAACCTGATTTTGACATATTTTTATTTTGATTTTGACAAAATTCGAAACACGAAAACCGTATTCCTTTGGGTTAATTACCTAATCCAACTTAGATCCGCTAGATTGGATTTCGTGTGACAAAATTATACATGAATGAGTCACATTCTGAATTTTAGATACATCAAAATTGTGGGCAGTATCCATTGATTCATGTATATCTTTCTCGTCCGACGTCCAATTTTGGTGATTCAAGTTGGATTAGAACATTAACTCAGAAAACCACAAATTCTATTTTTCGGGTTTTGCAAAATTTGAAATTAAAAATGATCAAAATCACGTTTAAAGTCGAAACGGCATTATTAAAGCTCGAACGACATTTATCACATCCCTAATTAATATAATATTATTTTAATGTTCAAACCTTTCAAAAACGTTTCTGTATTTAAGTATTTTAATGCTACCTTTGGAAATACGCTATAATAATGTAAAAGAATAATATAAACTAAGTAATTACGTATGTTAATTAATCCATGGGGAATACGATGCTACACTCGGTGATTTTCACCGGGTGGCTCTTTTCTTGACAAGTGTCATTTTTTATTTATTTTATAATTATATTTCTAAAATCCATTGGGCCATAACTGAATCCGTAGCGAGAATTTTATTAATTAGAGTGTCTGATTATATTCAGCAGGTGTAGCATAGAATTTCCCTTAATCCATGCAGAAACTGATAGTGCCGTTTGAGATTGCGCGGGCAACAAGGTATTATGAGAAACCATTTTGTGTATTTTTATTTTTTTATTTTTTTTTGGTTTCGGCTCGATTTTCAAATCGCCTTACGATTTATGTGATATTTATTTTTTTAGAGAATTGCGATTTATTAGATATATGAAGCGGCTGTGAGAGGTCTCTGTTCGGTGGAAGCACCATTTCCGGTGAAATTTCCGCTTCCAAAATCCACAAGATCGTTTTTCTTTGAAACCGTGCTCACTTGCTTCTCGTTCGATATCTATCTCCGAAGAGGAGAAGTCACCCTAATCTTGTGGCGGCAATTGCCGGTGCTAGAGCTGCTGCAACTCAATTCTCGAATAATAGTAATAATAATAATAATAATTTGCAATCTTTTAACGGGGCCGATATTGAAGGCGAAAAGATTCATGTGTCCTCGAGCCTCGAGAACAAGGAATAAGTTCCATGACAGGGTTCAATGAAAACTCAGAAGTGGTGAAATATGGATTTTGAGGAAAGTTTACATGTAAATATATTTGTGTATCATATGTACTTTAGGAAGAATTTGAAGATTTTTTAATTTTGAATGAATACCTTAGTTTTTTTTTGTTGTTGTTGTTTTTGTTTACGATACTAAATTCGAGGTTGATTAGATTATATAATGAACCAAATTTTGAACAAAAAAAATTAAAAAAAGCGGTCGTTAAGCTACGAAGCTCAGCTCGAGCTCGATTTGGAGTAAAAAAATGACAAAATAAATGGCTTCGATTAAAACTCGTGATCTCGATTCAATTGCTTATCGAACTAAGTTAAAACACGACTTTTCAAACTCGATAAAAATTCAAATAAACTTAAAACAATTAAATTTCCGGTTCGAATCGATTTCTACATTCTTAATTACCATCAAATCTCAAGTTAATCAATAAGACAAAAAGTAATTAAGACATGAGATCGATTAGAAAAGCTATCTCATAGATGAACTCGATTATTAAGAATCACTTATCATCACTCCACTTTTATGCAATGCTAGTCAACAATTACAAATTGTCCAAAATGCCCTTCGTTGCAATACCCCAACGCCTATATAAAGAAATCGTGGCACACTCTCAACCAACACACAAAAAACATGGCTTCTCAAATATTCATCCTATTGCTAATCACTTTGATTAGTTTCCCAATTATTTCATATGGTTACTATGCTAATGAGGATAATTTGGATGCACAAACACTTTCTCTCACTAAAGATGAATCTCTTGTAGAGAGAGAAAGCGAGCACCACATAATAGGGCATGACAAAGAAGATGGCCACATACCATTTGAAATTAAAAAGAGAAATAATAGAAGACCACCTCGTCCGGTCAAGAGGCGGCCGCCTACTTCTCCACGCCCTAATCGCCGCCGGCCACCACCTCCGCCTCGTACTGAGCCTCCTCCGTCAGACGACTACAATGAATGCCAATGACGATGCTCGATAAATTTATTCAAGTGCTAGTATATGAGATACATGCATGATTGACTATGAGGAAAAACTTCTAGCAAATATTTAATAAACATGTATCTAGATAAATAATAAAGTTGCACTTGTTTTAATTTGATTGTGTGTTTTTGTTTCCTTTCTCTTTTAAAATATATAGTTGCCTTTATCACTTCTAATTCTTTTAATGTTTAATCATGATAAAACAAAAAAAAAACAAAAACATACTCCATATCTACATGCAGGTAAAATCACATTTAATTTATCTCTCTACTTTACAAGAACACCTCACTATAAAAGGGTCATAAAATTCCAATTTTTTCGTGAGCGAGAAATTAATTCAGATTCTGTTTCATAAAAAAATCGGAAAAATCAAAATTGGAATTTGGGAAATTGGAACCAAAAAATTGTTCCAGAATCGAAATAGATAGAAATTGAATGTCCGATACAATTTGGACCTCTAACTACATTGAATTAACAAACAAAATTCGGTTGACTTTAAATATAATAAATAATCGTTTCAAGTATTATTTTGAATTCATAGGTTATAAATTCAAGGAAAATGATTAAATTTCGTAATTGTTTTTTTTATTAAAATAATTACCCAACAATGTTATTACACGTGTCCATCACTTCCGACCAATGCTCGATACTTGTCTCTCCTGGTAAAATCAGTGGCTTCGTATTTCAAACTCTGCGCAATCATTTTCTGAACATTATTCGCAATAACTTGGTGGTGGCTCGATTTCTGGCCGGAAGATATGTAACACGTCTCCTCCGGCGAGAGTTTGTTCAAGAAAGTAACCTCGTACGCCGGAAAAGGGTTCATGTAGAAGAAGAAAGGGTCCATCCACTTGTACCCCCTCGCCGTCGTTCCGTGGAACATGCTCGTTTTCACGGCGATCGCCACCGGCGCAATCTGATCGGAGAGTTCGGCGAACAGCGGCGAGAATCTCAGAAGGTAGGGCCCACGGCAGGTTGTCTCCTCCGGGAACATCACCAATGATTTTCCATCGTCCAGAAATTTCCGTCCGACCAGTTTGGAGGCGGCGGAGTACGAGATGGCGGTGGTGGTTATGCGGCGGAGGCAGGCGGAGACCACGGCGGCGTCGAGGGCGGTTTTGTGGGAGCAAACGAACACCACTTCTCTTCCTCTTACTCCGGCGGCGGCGGCGGCGGTGCCTTTGATTGTGATTGGGCAGGCGAGTAGATTCATGATGTAGTAAGATAATGCGGATTTGTCGGAAAGCCAACAGTTGAAAACGCGGGGGAGAGATAAGAGAACGCCGATGGGAAACCAGAGAACGATTAGCAGCGCCGTCAGTGGAGTGGGCTTTCCGACGAGACGGCCGTCGTGGAAGATTACGGGCTTTGGGAGTGCTTCCTTTCTCACGGGCCGGACTCCGGGCCTTGCCGGTACTATGTACTTTTCCTGCATTGACGGAATATTAAAGTTTCGGTTAATTCGATATTTAGTCCTCTATTTATACACATTTCAATTTTTGCATTAACTTTATAGATTTAGCATTTTTAATCCTATTGTGCAAAAGTTTTTATTTTCCACTATTAATTATAGATATGACAAACAAACTCTTCAAAATTTGATTATATGATACTTACAAATTACAAATTTGCCTTTTAAGTTGCAAAATCAATGTAAATGTGCAAAATCATTTTTTTGTGGACAAATATAAGAAGAAGAAATAAATCGAGGGGTTTTTTTTTTTGAAATTTTACTAATCAACCAAGAGAATGAAAAAAAAAATTAAAAAAAAAATTGACGAAAATATACTGATTTCACAAAGTTATTGCATGAAAAATTGAAACTTTGCGCAACTTAGAAGATTGAATTCCTAAGCGGACCAATTTAGAGGAATAAAATTACAATTTTTCCGTCTGTATTTGCGCATCGAAAAATCATAGAAATTTCAACTTTTATAATTTTTCAATTGCTAAAAAAACTTCAAAAATTACATACAAAACACATTTTTTAGATTCCCTACTATATTTTATACACTAATCATGAGTGTGTTACACCAACTATACACATGACAAGATAAAGTAGCATGTCGATAAACACTTTACACTTAAGACCTATTTAATCATAGGTTCGAGTCAATTGGAGAAGAATTGGAGAAACAGTAATTAACGATTATCTTTCTTTTAGAAAAAAAATATAGTAAAAGAAAATATAGTAAACAGCTATATGCATGCACAAAATTAACAATTGTAGTAAATAAAGGAATATAAGGGAGCAATATAATAATATTAAATAGGTATGATGGTGGGACGAAAAAGACCTTGCAAAGTTTCATGAAGGGCAAATCAGTCAATCTATCCCCAATTCCAATATCAGGCATATTATTCCCAAAAGTACCCCTAAGAGCAACAGCCTTATTCTCGCCGACAAGCACCGCCGTATCACCACCAACAAAACCCGTCGCGACGCCCATGTACGACGAGATCTCCGTCCCCAAAACATCGTCGACGCCCAAATAATTCTTCAAGAACGGCTCCACCATTATCCTAGGATTCGCCGTCACCACACACTTTCTCCGGCAAGACCTGAAAACCCGCCACGTGTCGGGGTGCATGTCCTCGGAGTAGTGCTTCGGCAGAACCGCCGCCGCCGCCGATTCGATATCGGAAACCTTAACTCCGGCGAACGTTGCGAAAACGAGCACCCGGATTCCGGCGGATTCGGAGATGAAATGGTACAGAAGCCCCGCCAGTGGGGCGGCCGCGAGTAGGAGGAGCAGCCGGAAAATCCCACCGACGTCGAAGGCGATTAGCGCGAAATACGGGAAGGAGCTCCGCCCGACCAGCAGAGTTCCGTCCAGATCGGCGGCGACGGTGTCGTTTTGTCTGCCGTCGGAGTTGCATTGGTAGATTGTGGGGATTCTCGTAAGAGAATCGTGGGTGTTTTTTACGACAGGCATTTTAATTAATTCTTTTAAAATTATTTAATTGTTCACCATGAACATGAATTAGGAGTTTTATACTAATTAATTCTTAACTTTTGGCTAATCTAGTTTTTAGCTAGGGAGTTAATAATGTTTTAGGTTAGGCTAAGATCACAATTAGCTGTAATTAATAATGGTTGTTAATTAGTTAGTTAATGCAGTTCACTGCTATTTTTGCAAAGTCAAATGTTAGAAATCTAAGAATAAACAGTTTAGCCTTTCTTTCACCAATTAAAAAGAAGGGTAAATTACGGCCAACTCCCTGAGGTAAGATCAAATTACGAAACCCCCTCTTTTACTTGGGTACTTACAACCACGCCTGATCAATTTTTGATCTTCTTTCACGTCCATTCTTGCGGTGTTAAATTTAGTAAAATCTTCTAGATTATGTGGAATATTCTTCAGTTTGTACCCGTTATATCTCATTCGAGCTCCACATTTTGAAGTAAGATGATCATAAGATGTATTTTCTGGCTTGTATATATTAGATTGTGGTGAATCAGAAACTGTATTTTTGCACAAAACAAGTACAAACTAAAAAACATTCCACGGAATCTAGAAGATTATGTTGAATTTGACACCACATGAATTGACGTGTAAGAAGATTTATAGTTGAGGTGTAATTGTAATTACCAAAACATGACAGATTTTTCGTAATTTAACCTTATCTCAGGGGTGGTTGTAATTTACCCTAATAAAAAAGAAAATAGTGGCCATAAATATTCACCAATTAGCACTAGCTTTTCACAGCGGAACAACTCAAAAGCTCTTCCAAGTAATCAGCACCCAAGTCTTGAAACACCACCACATCCTCCGCCACTTTCCCCTTCCTACCGCCGGAGCTCCGCCGCCTCATGGAATGTTTTCTCTTCAAAGCCATCACCGGCGAACACCCCTCCTCCTCATTAATGCAATCCCTTATCTCCCTCAGAGACTCCCGCACCCTCTCCACCGGAAAGTTGAGGACCGCTGCCTGTCCCCGCATAGCGAAGGCGGCTTGGTCGTACGCTAGAGCGGCGGCCTCGGCCGTGTCGAAAGTCCCCAGCCACACCCTTACGCCGTTTCGAGTGGAATCCCTTATCTCCGCCGCGAACTTCCCCCACGGCCGCCGCCTCACGCCGCGGTACGACTTAGTCTCTTCCGGCGAGGAGGAATTCACTTCGTCGTTTTCCTTGGGTTGTTGTAGGTTTTCTCCCTCCGCCAAGACCCCGAAAAGGAGCATTTCTTGCGAATCGTCCTCGTTAAAAGGAAGGGAATCCCATTCCCGTGACGGTCGGAATGATGATTCCGACGAATTGAAGGAGGAATTATCGGAGGAGAAATTGAATTCCATTTGGAAATTGAATTTTTGTAAGTAAGAATAGAAATGAACCAAGGTTGTATTTATACCCATGAGGAAATGTCAAATATAATATTATTTGGAAACTCGTATGAATCGAGTCGGGTCGAACTCATGGTTGTTGTTTGAATTTTTACTTTGATCTGATAATCAAGCAATCGAGCTCGAGTAACTTAATATTTTATAAATATCTTATTATTGCATTCTTATTGAAGAAGCTGGAGCCGAGCTTCACATCTTATTGACCGAAAATATATGTTCGAATCATATATTAATATCTTAATTTACTTTTCGGCCCTATTGTAATAAATAAATAGTTGATATATGTAGTCGTAACGTTAGAACGTTAATATTAAAATTTGATAGTAAATTAGTATTTTTTTTAATAAAATTATGGTAAATTATCAAATGCAATACATAACGAGAGCAAAAAAGGGAATGACAAAGGCGAGTGTCTGGATTTTATTTATTATTATTATTTAGTATTATTATTATTATTATTATTATTATTATTATTATTATTATTATTATATTTATTTTCATTATTATTATTTAGATATTATTTTTTGGGACACAGTAGGAGGAACAAGAGGGCAAGTATGACACGTGGGTCAAAGGTCGCCAGTGTCAGGCAGCCACGTCAGACAAATAGCTGACCGTTGAATTATTTCTAGATAATTAGATTCTGTCTGGGGGTGAAATCGAAATTTAACTTTATATTATTAGATTTTAATACCAATCATGTCACTGTTAAAATCTAGGCCCCCTCCCAAAGAAAAAGGAGTATCGAATTTAGTTGCGTGTTTGATCGCAATTTTCTTTTTACTTTAAAATTGGGATTCATTTGAATTGATTTACCAAATTAATTGTATATACAATTAAACCTCCACAACTAATAAATTATTTATTTAACGAAATAGATTGCGTGTTTTGTCCCACATGGTTATTAATTTATCGAGATTTTTCTGCGTACTCTAGTATTTCAAAATTTCACATTTAATTAATTAGAATCATCATACCTTAACTGTAGTATCTGTACTCATGGGAATTAACTGATACATGTTCACTTGTTTCAACCGTTAGATCATCTCTTACACGATCGATCAAGTTGGTTATTATTATGAGATATATGTTGGTCGTTGTCCAACTGTGCAAGAAGGTCAATGAACAATAGTATTAGTAGTTGAGTTTGATGGATGAAATGACCAAATACAGCCCCCTTGGAATTTTATTGATAATTGATTGGAACTCACCAAAATTGGTAACTTAATTGAAATTCAATTTAGTGATACAGTCAACTTATTGGTCTATTATATAAGAAATATAAAAAAAATATATATATATTTAATTATGAGATATTTTATTGTTTATTTTTTGTAATTTTAAACGATACCAATCATATTCCAAACCTTAGTTTATATTATTTGAAGTCTCCAAACTCTTGCTCCAAAAAAAAAAAGTCCCCAAACTCATAGTTAAACATATAAGCCAATTAAATTTCAAGCACATGAAAATGATATAATACTTCAATTATTTGTGGGCCTCCAGCTCATAATTAAATTATATAATACTCTTTTTCTAATTTTATTTTTAAAGAGTTTTCGTATTAAGTGTCACTATAGTTTTGCTCCATTTAGCATATCCGAAAGTTGCTAACGAAATTTCAAGATTTTTGATATTTCGAATTTGAAGTTTCACGAAATTGTCGATTTGTATGGTATTCATAATTCGATTATTGCGAATATTTCGGTTTTAATTAATAATTGGTCTAATATTATATAAGAAAAATAATGTAGCAAAATAGAAATTTCCAAGAAAACCATTTTTTTGTTAAGCTTTTGGGCGTCCATTTTCATTTTATTTTGGAGAAAGATGTTTTGGGAGAAGAATTTGAAAATAAAATAAAGTTTGTTTGTATTTTGGGAAGAGACAATTTGTACTGTAGCAAGTCAAATCATGTCTAGAAGGTGTTGGAAAAAGGTATTTTAGAAGAAGAATTTGAAGGATAAAGTGATTTTAGTTTGTAATTTAGTGAAGACAATTTTTACTGTATCAGTCAAATCATGTCTGTTAGAGAGAGAAAATTTTAAATTATTTTTGGGGAAAGTTTTTGAAAATATTTCAGAAATATAATTTTATTTTAGGGAAAGAATGAAAATAATTTGAAAACCTAAACAAACATAGCCTTTATGTTCTCAATATCATGGTAGGGGACAAAATATTTCATGTCACTTAATTATATATGAAGTTATGAACCGATACAAAAATATATTCTTTTGGAAAAAAGCTTAGACAGTTAACAAATCATATTTTGCCACGTCATCCAAATTATTTTTATTGTAACTTGTCCAAATTGCCCTATTAACTCTAGTAGAAGATAAGGATCCTTTTTAGGTTTAGAATCATGAGAAGGGGGCAATGTGGTCAATTTCTTGATGGCAAATCATTACAAAATGCCTATCTCAAGATGTTAGTTTCGGTTTATGGATGCTATACCTGGTGAAAAGTACCGGGAAATTTTGCACTATAGATCCAATCAGAGTATCAGACCACTTGACCAAATTACGCATATTATCTGACATTTAACTCGTTTGACCATTGACTTTTTTAAAACTCAACTCCTACCCATGAACAAATTACATTTCCCTCACTGAGGTTCGGTTTACGCGTATATAGACCTCTCATATTGCAAAATTATTACAAATCCCTCCCTTCAAATTTAATTTTATCGCAAAATTAAATTTTAATTCACGAAATCATAAAAAAAAAAAAAAAAAAAAAAAAAAAAAAAAAAAAAAAAAAAGAATCCCAAGTGAAGGGCTAATTAGTAATATGGGCTCCAGCTCCACGAAAGTAGTAGATGGATCAGGATCCGAGTGCAGCTGGGTTCACTAATGTGGGCTCCGGCTGTTTGGGCTGCTAAGATTTTATTTTGGGCAAATTACAAGGACTGAGATAAAGCCTAATTATGAAAATACCCTCCTTGTTTTGCATAATTACGAGCAACTCCTGATGTATTATTCTTGTAACGACTTTACCCTCGCAGAGATAACAATAACGGAATCGTATATATTCCATGGAATATCCATTTTATAATGGGGTCTACTTGTACCGTTAGAATTTTTTTTATACTTTCAATTTCGAACCCTTTTTTCTTAACATAAAATTTGTTTAATGTTAGCGGTTTTTGTGTTATAAGGGGGTTTGTGTAAGGTTTTATATTGCATGATGGGCCAAGTGTAAGAAAATCAGAAAATTAAATTTGTGATGATTCTTTTCTCTTTCATTTAATAATTTTTAACACATGAATATTTTAGATAATTATTAAGTTTTGTTATAATTTTTTACAAATAATGAATGTTTTTTCATAATTAGGTCTCCTTGTAATTTACCCCTATAAGTTTGAAAGGTCACTTTAACTTACAAGGCTTAGTTGAATTGATGTAATTCTTTTAATAATATATATTATCTTTTGTTTTTCTTTAATAATAAAAAAAAAGTACGAATAAGTTTGTACTTTTGTACAAATTCACATGCATATATATCAAGTGTTGAAAAAGAAAGAAAAATAAAATAGAATCAATTCAATTCAATTCAAAATACAACAAACAGTTGAATACCCAGCTTGTAAGTCAATTCAAATCACATCAAAGAGTTGAACTTTTCAATTCGTCAATTCAACTCAGATACTTGACCACTTTCAGTTTATTTATGCAACTTGAGAATACTGTTTTCAAATATAGGAGTATTAAATTTTCGAATTGATCGAACTGTCGGTTAGTTAGTATTATCGGCCCGATAATAGTTTTTCAATAAAGAAAATTTATTATATAATAAATTAGAAATTAGAAAATATCGATCAATCAGATAATTAATATCGTCCAAGCCACTTTTAGAAATGTTGTTTGGCAGTTCATTAACTGTACACAAAATGGAAATCGGAATAAATTTCCGAATTCTATCCATTTCGATCCGAAAATATTCGAATTCAGAACCGTATTTTTCATTCCGAAATTCCGATTTTCTATTTTTATTTGAATTTATTTGAAATGGAACCGGATTTGTATATAAAATTGCTGGAATTTTCGATTTTGTATAATAAAACTTATGTTGTATTTTATATTAAAAATATGAATAGCGAAGGACCAAGTAAATTATAATCTTAGAAAAGATTAATAGGTACTAGAAACAAGAGATTATAATAAACTAATGTAATTTCCGAAATTCCCATGATTCCGAGGCATTCCATAATCGGAAATAATTTTTGCATTTCAATTTTTTAAGATCGGAAATTTGAACCCAATTTTTTACTTCCGAAACAAATTGATTTTATTTCCGAAAAAGGCATTATTTCAAATCCAATTTCCACCCCTAATTGACACATAAAATCCATTCTCGACACTCATTATATATATTTTACGTATATATAAAAGAACCAAATTTATAACCGACAAGCTTCTTTATGCTGACAACAACATATATTAGTTTGGAATAAAAACAACAACAAATAATTATAGTGACAAAAACTGTTCATAACATAGTTTATAAGCACAGCTACAGATCTCTCACTGATGATTAATTGCAAGCTAAGGAAAAATATTAAATATCTAATAAATCATTCCACATTAAATATTTATTTATAAAAAAAAAAAAAAAAAAAAAACAATTAAACCAGAAACACAGACAGAAATCTTAACCCATTTGAAAATCTTAAAGTGTTAATTAATTATTAGAAATCTCTTGAAAAATTATAATTTATATTAATATTTATTAATTATTAGTGTTCTTGAAAAATATCTGGACGATATTTCTTGACCTAATAATAATAATAATTAATTAAGAAAAATTGCTTTTCAGTCCCTTTTCTTCTCTCTTTTATCGTCAAGTAGTTCTTCCAACAACTTATCGTCGTAGTACTCGAACTCAAAAACCTCCCTCCCGCCGCCGCCGCCGCCGTGCATGTGATCACCCGGCGTGGAGAAATGGGAGGAGCTGCTGGGCAAGTTGTACTCCTCGGGGAAGTTAAGGATCGCCAGATGGCCTTTCATGGAGTACGCCGCCCTGTCGTATGCCCTCGCCGCCTCCTCCGCCGTGCCGAACGTCCCCAGCCAGACGCGGGCGCCTTGCCGCCCGGTGTCGCGTATCTCCGCCGCGTACTTCCCCCACGGCCGCTTCCTTACGCCCCTGTACTTGATTTCTCCGGCGTCTTTCTCCCGGCCGGAGCCCTTCTCCGATCTGTTGCTCGGCCCTTCGTCGTCCATCGGTTTTTTTTTTTTGTTGCTGAGTCGGCGGTGGATGAATTAATATGTAGAACCGAGTCGGGAGTTATATATATATATATGGTGAGAAAATTCAAAAGTTGAAGAGAATTGTTTTTATTTATTTTAAGAAAAAAAAGATTATTTAATTTGTGTAATGTGAAAAAGTGCATGGGTGATTTTTTAGGTTCTGGCAAAAAGGAGGGCTGGGAATTTGCCACGTGGATATTCCATTTAATTGATGTACCACGTGGAGAAGCTTCCATGTAGAGCGATATTATTCAGAAAACATTGAATATAGTCTCTGGTCAATATTGTGGTGGCTATTTGAAAATATTCTTTTACTACTTTTTTATATTAGTATTTATATATAATTCTAGATAATCATCTAAATACTTGAAACTATATTAGAAAATAAATTATTAAATGGGACATGTGAATATCAAGTAAAACATATTTATTTAGTTATTTACAACTTTTCTTAACCTACCAAACGTTTAATTGATCGATCTAAAAAGAAAATGGTATTCATCTCTAACTAATTAATTATGTAATGAGCTATATACTAATTGACACATCCATATATATACCTCAACACACACATGTGCTTAGTGAGCAGTTATTTAATTTCATCCACGGTTAATAATCACTCTACGTAAGTAACCTGGTGCGACACCTAACTCCCTAGATTCAATGTTGTTTATATAACTTCAAATTGTAGCGCATTTGCTACAATTTTACCGTATATAATTTTTTTATCACGTCAGTATCAATTATGGGAAAAATTCATTGAAAATTCGTAACCCCCGTTTTTTTACTACAACTTTGATTTATATTTGCTATGGTTAATGGTCGTAGTAAAACAATTTTTCTACTAGCGATATCAAGAATTGAATGACCTTCATTTGAAAATTTAAATTATTAATAATGTGAATTATTTAACATTTATATCTATAGAACAACCTAGAGTTTAATTTGAAAAGCACAATAATTAAGAAGAAAAAAATGATCTTATGGGAGAAGAGTGAATCAAGTATTTACATCACTGCCACATTTTGGTTGTGAGGTCAGCACGCTGACATCAGCAATGACGTAGCCATACATGGATCAGCAAATCTCTGTCCTAGCATAGTAATTAGAGTAATTAACAAAAAAAGAAGATCATGATAATATTAATTAATGTTAATTATAACTACCTTTTGAGGGTTTGAGGTATATATTCACCATTGAAACTAGCAACTTTTATCACAAATGAATAATAATCTGCGATTGTTAATCAATTAGAATCTTCTTTTGCCCATAATCGACATATACGATGATTTGATTCAGATATGACGTCATCCATCGGTAATCAGCTGACGTCACTGCTAATTAATATGCATTCATTAGCTTAACTTAATTAACCTGATCAATTAGATTGCACACTTTATTAGAAAGTACTAAATACGGTTTGCCCCTAGCCAAATTCCAACTTTGTAGTTGGGATGACTCTATGAAATATTCCATTTGTTTTCTTTTGATCATAAAAATCCAGTATTTTAATGTAATTAATTTACGAAATTCTATGTTTTTTTTTTTAGGTCTATATTATATTGTAGAGAAATTAGATTACTTATTGCGTTATTTACATTGCATGATTGTTAATCGTAGCAGAGGTTAAATAATCATAACCACTAAACGCAGATATACATGAATATGTATATGATTACAATCACCCGGTGTATCAACATCTATTTGTTCATAATTAAATTTTAAATTTTAACACAATTTATAAATCTAATTTAATTTTAAGGCAAATTAGACATACAAATTTTGGTATGATAAAAAAATCACTCCATTTTTTTTGTTCTATTTATGACGTCATCAAATTAATTGGAATCTCAATCACCTCACAGTCTCACTTATCAAGAACATTTAATTTCACCCAAACCAAACCAAACTTAAATTAAATTATATATTTTTAATTTCTTACTAATTAAAATGGCATCAATATTTCATTACGTACAACACTTTCAGGAAGTCGACTTATTAATAACTTCAATCCCCATGCACACGCGCCGCCGCCGGAGGAGGAGGATCCCTCCTCCCACCCTTGGGCGGGCAAGGCCGCGGCGGCAGCTGTCTCGGAGGAAAAGGCCACGGCCGCGGCGGGCGCGGCGGCGGGAAGGGTTTTGGCGGGCGGGGGCGGGGGCGGGGAGGAAACGGGAAGGGGAACGGCGGCAGAGGCTGAGCGTAACCGCACATCCCGAAGAAGCACAAGCTCGGAAACGGGCATCGATTGTCACACCGCCCGCAGTGGAACGGGTTCCGGTTAGTGTTGACGCACAGCCCCCGGCAGCACTGCCGGGTGAACGGGCACCGAATACCGCACAACCCGCAGTTGTTCACGTCGGAGGAGACGTCGACGCAGCGGTTGCGGCAGCAGCGCCGCCGGATCCTCGGGAAGCCTCCTTGGTCGTCGTTGCAGATCCACGGCCGCCGCCGGCAGCCCATGAATCGTGGGTTCCTGAAGCCCATCAGCCATGGGGACACGGCGGCGGAGGACGAGTTCGACGTGGCGTTATCGGCATTATTAATAATAATAGGTAGTACGAGGTTCTTTTTGGCGTGTATGGTTGTTGCAAAATACAGACAAAGTACTAGGATTAACTGTATTTGCATCTCTTGGCCGTTAATTTTGTGCTGTAAGAATTTTTATTTTAGAGATGTGTATATATATATATATAAAATAAAATAAAAAAATAATTAAAATTAAATTAAAAAATAAAATAAAAAAACAAGGGAGGTAAAAAGGGTATATGGTTAGATGGAAATAAGGGAAAATCATGTTTTTCTTACAGAGGGGGTGATTAAATTTACGTGAAGAAGCGTGTTTTGATGATCTTCATTACATTATTATGATCAATATTGAGAAGCCAAGGGGTTTTTTTTGCTTTTTTCACACCTTTCGCCATTCCTTTGGTATCAACAAAAGTAGGGACGAAAATCGAACCGAAATTAGCACTTTCAAAAAGAAAAAAAAAAACTTGAAGTGAAAAACCCGATTCAAAAATATCGAAAAATCGGAATTTTGAATCGAAAGTACAATTATTATTTTTTGGAATTAGTTTAAAAAAAATTGAATTGGAAATCGAAATCTTATGTTTATTTCAATCTTCTTAAATAAAATTATAAAAATAATTAAAAAATCGGAAATCGAACTTTTCGAAAAAAAATTGGACTACGTGAAAGAGGAATGAGTTGAGCCTGGACTACAAGCATAGCCCGGTCATGTTTCTTGACGGCCCAACTCGGCCCTTCCTTATAAAGTTATTAAATGGGCTTGATAGGCCCAAATGTTTTACTTTGTATAATTGTTTTAAAATAATTTATCAATTAAGTTTTTTTTTTAATTTCGTATGTAGTTAATATGTATGTCTTATTTAAACATTTGGGGTATAATTAAAGTATTTAAATTCTATGATTTTTTTAATTTATGAATTACAACCTTCCTGGTCACAAGAACTTTTTTTAAATGATTTATTGGTAATTATTTTGTTGGCATATTTTTTACATATATAATTTTTAATTTCCTAGGCATCTTCATTTTTAATGTTGTGAAACTTTACCCCTAGTTTTTAACACATTTTCCTCTCATCAATTAATTTTATTAAATGTTCATCAAAGAACTACTATTAGAGGCTAGTAATATTTAGAGATTAGTAGAACTATTAATTAGAAGTTAATAAAGACTATTGATTAATTAGGAGCTAGCTATTACTAATCCGATTTTAATTGGTTGACTTACACTACCAAAATTTTCCCCCATTGGCCCCTCCCCTCCTTTTTTTTCCCTCTCAAATTAAATATTTCTTCAAAAAATATTACTATATCTTGAAACATGAGACCACTATTTATTAAGACAAAAATTCAACACTTGCACTAATTATTTCTCAATGGATCTTATGAGCCAAAATCCAATACATCTTGATGAATCAAAAGCACTTTCTCCCATCACAAGTCCACAAATAAGCTCACCCATAATAGCTATTGCCATGTTTGGCATTTTATCCACGTGCTTCTTTCTAATTGGCTACTACGTATTCGTCGTCAAATGCTACTTAAACCGCACAAGCCACATCTCCGACGACCCTCCGACGTTCTACTCTCCAAGACGCGAAAATCGAGGGCTCGATGCATCTGCAATAAGATCAATCCCAATTCTTGAATTCAAGAAAGTTGAATTCTCGGAACAAAAGCCTTACGAATGTCCCGTTTGTTTGGACGAGTTCGAGGAGGATGAGAAGATTAGAGTAATCCCGTTTTGTGGACACTACTTCCACGTAGATTGTATAGATGTTTGGCTTCACAAAAATGCTAATTGCCCTATTTGCAGAACAAGTGTTTTGGCTCATGATATAAGTCTCAATTATTGGGATCAAACAATAATCCATGCTCGTGATCAAAGCCCTTCTAATTACGATGAAGAATATGTGGTGATTGAAATGGAATCGCAAGAAAATTCGAACTCGGGTGAACTTATATCGAGCATTCCTTCGAAGGATAAGTTCGAAAATAACAAGATTTCAAGAAGTGGGGGAAAAATTGGAAGAGTTCTAAGTATGGGAGACGAATGTATTCATACTACGCAGAAAGACGAACAATTTGAAGTGGTTCATCCCATTATAAGGAGGTCTTTCTCCATGGATTATTGCAGCAATGGTAGAGTTACAAGATCATTGTTTTCTTGATTCTGTAATTTCTTTTTTTTTTTTTAAATTTTAATAATTGTTAGAATTATATAGGATTGCAGTTTGTTTATAGGGTAAATTACAAACACCCCCTGAGGTATGGTCAAATTACAAAAACACCCCTCTTGTTTGGATAATTACAACTACCCCCTCAACTCCTCAAATTTAGTGGAAGATTATATGGAATATTATCACTTTTGTACCCGTTTTATCCCATTCAAACTCTACATTATGAAGCAAGATGATCATAATATGTGATTTTTAACTTGTATATATCAGTTTGTGGTGCATCGGAAACTGTATTTTTACACAAAACGAGTACAAACTAGAGCACATTTTACGGAATCTAGATGATTATGTTGAATTTGACACCATAAGGGTGGAGGTGTAAGAAAAAAATCATAGTTGAGGGGGTAGATGTAATTATCCAAACAAGAGGGGGGGTTTTGTAATTTGACCATACCTCAGGGGGTGTTGGTAATTTACCCTTGTTTATATATATATATATATATATATATATATATATATATATATATATATATATATATATATATATATATATATATATATATATATATATATACATCTTATATTATTAGTTCGTTATTGGTCTAAAAATTGCAAATTCAACACAAATTAGTATATATCTTCAAATTTTTAAAAATTATGTACTTAAAAGAGCCTTAAAGAATCAAATTATAATTTTATTTCATTGTTTGTAAAAAAAATTGTAAATTCATGCGATTTTGCCTAAGTTTGCTTATTCTACACGTGCTAGATAATCTCCCACATAGCCTTGTCTAGTCACTAGTGTCTATCGACTCTATCCTAGTCAATTAATAATTATATGTGGAAAAGAAAAAAGAAAATCATATTAGGTATGAAAAAAAAAACTATTATTATTATAATACAAAGTGGATAAATATTTAAGATTTGTGATTAAAATATGGATATTAATGAACTGTGCAGTATTTATTTATAATTGATTAGTCTAATAAAATTTTGAATTTTCTTAAACAATTTGAGCTAAATGATCATTTTTTCGAGTTAATAATATTTTTTTTTATACATAGGTAAGAAAACATAATTCAAGATTTTTTTTAATTAAAATTTGTTTATTAAATAATTGATCTTGCCAAATTACGTATCAAATATTTATAATATTCTCTTTATTTAATTTAAAGTTAAAAATAATAAAACATTTGATAAAAATTAAACAATTAAAACTAAACACACATTTATCTGCGTTTCATTATCATTTCCGTCTGCAACTCTCTCTCTCTCTCTCTCCGGCAACCATGAAGATCATAGTGGCAATCAAACGGGTCGTTGACTACGCCGTCAAAATCCGGGTCAAACCCGACAAGGTAACAAAGCCCGACAATCCAAAAATAGTTGATTTGGGAGAAAATAGAATGAAAAATTAGCTCAAATTTGGTTTTTTTTTTTCTTCAAATTTGTTTCAGAGTGGTGTGGAGACATCGAACGTGAAGATGTCGATGAACCCATTCTGCGAAATAGCGTTAGAAGAGGCGCTCCGGATCAAGGAATCGGGTCGGGCCTCCGAGGTGGTGGCTGTCAGCGTGGGCCCGGCCCAATGCGCCGACACACTCCGAACCGGGCTCGCTATGGGCGCTGATCGGGCCATCCACGTGGACTACCCAGGAACCCTTTACCCGCTTTCGATTGCCAAGATTCTCAAAGCGCTTGTCGATGCTGAGAAGCCCGGCCTTCTTCTTCTCGGAAAACAGGTCAATTTTCAATTTAGGGCTTTTTCTCTGAAATTGGATTTAGGGCAAATTCTATTTTGTGATTTATAAGATTTGGGGATTTGAGGGTTTAATAGCTGTGAGTGATTATTCTAGGCTACTTATACATACTGAAAATGTAAGCTTTTTAGCCAGTGGCAATGTTGCAATTATGTGATTAAAACCGGTCAGTTGAAGTTCAATGAATCTGAGTGTTCTGAATTCGTAGTCCCGGTTTATAAGCTCAGAACTTCTTTCCGCGCGTGTTAGAATTCATTCGAAAAGAACGGAATCCATTACAAGGGATGCTGGTCTAAGCTTCCATTAGAGATACGAAGTTCTCAACATTGTTCGGAAGTTTCCGGAAGCCACGTTTAGCGTTTGGCAGTCGGATGTGTTTTTCTCTTTGTGTCGATTTTTTTTCAAGATACTGATAGAAAGCATTCTTTATTTGCTTGTTTGAGTTTGTTTCTTTATATGTTGTTGCCCTATTATTTATTTATTTTAAAACGATTCTTGAAGATTTTACGTCGGATATTGGTTTCTGATGTTGCGATTTGTGTAGGCAATCGACGATGACTGTAACCAAACGGGCCAAATGGTTGCAGGGCTTCTCAAATGGCCTCAAGCCACTTTCGCCTCCAAGGTTACCCTCGTTTTCTTTACCACAATTATGTCAATTTTTCATAAAACCAATTATTTTTATATAGAACTTCGTTTTTTCGAGCGTTTGCGTTTTCGCATGCCCTTTTTTGCAAAAAAATTAAATTTGTGTTTCTTGTTTTTAACTCGATGACTACTGCATTCTATTAGGTTGTATTCGACGAAGAAAATAAAGTAGCGACAGTAGATAGAGAGGTCGATGGTGGCATCGAGACCTTATCCTTGGATTTACCGGCTGTCATCACGTAAAAGAAAAAAAAAAGTTCTTTATTCGCTTTTCGTTTTTTTTTCTTTTTATATTGCTTTTATTTTTTTTCCTTTGTATGTGTTAAAAAAAAGAAAAGAAAATGGCACTAAAATTGCGACATTTGCAGGACTGACTTAAGACTGAACCAACCGAGATACGCAACCCTCCCGAATATAATGAAAGCGAAATCAAAGGTGATAAAGAAAGTGACTCCACATGATCTAAATGTCGAAATTAAATCGGATTTGGAAGCTGTACAAGTGGCCGAACCCCCGAAAAGAAAATCAGGAACCGTACTTTCTTCTGTAGACGAATTGATCGACAGGTTGAAAAACGAAGCTCGTGTTATATGAACTGATCATTTCTAAGTGCTTAGCAGATTCTAATTAGTGTTACTAATCACAATGTTAGTGATACTTATTTAACCATTAACTTGAGTTATGTATTTGTGTAAGAATAAATAACATGGGAATTTGTTGTGAGGTTGAAAATGTTCCAAGACTGCATTTTTTTTTTTTTTTTCATTTTTTTTTTAAAGATTCTTTTACCCTTTGTTTCATCTGTCCCTTGTCCCTTGATACTTGTGTAAGGCCAATATATGCACATGTATTCATCAAGTGGCAAATATTTAATTTTAGTCCACACACACTCTTATTATTATTTACTCTTTTTTGATAGAAAATAAAATAAAATAAATATTCTACAATGGTGAAGTTTGTTAATTGAACAAGGTCGTAAAAGGCGAGAATTGGATCTGAGGTGGTAAAAAATACCGCTGACAATTAATTAGTCGGTGGTAATTAATCGACGATAAATTATAAAAAAAATCAGTTTTTTAGTTTTTTTTTTTTAGTTTTATACTTTTATATAATATAAATTTAGATACTATTTGTAACTACTCAAAACATATTTCAACATAATTTTATCCGGTTTATATATCATATTTACATAATAACATTATTAATATAGTATCATTACAAAATAAAAATGAAACAAAAATCTCGTACACCCAAAATTATAAATAAAATGACACCTTTTATAATAATAATAATAATAATAATAATAATAATAATAATAATAATAATAATAATAATAATAATAATAATAATATAGGAGGGAATAAATAAAATAAAAATAAAATATCACGCCAAATAGCATCTAATAAAAAAAATGGCACAAGCAGATTCCATATTCCAACACTTTTATGTCTTATTCACACAAATACGATTTTCGGCGGCTCAAATTACAACTTGCATGTTGCTAATCCAATAATTAACCCCCCACCCCCAACCCCCCGGGTGGACACGTGTCGGTTTATAAATGGTTCAGCTCCCCACCGCTCGAATCATATCTCGCGACTCTCTTTTTTTTTTCAACCAAAATTTCTCAACATTCGCTTTCTGTAAAAAAAATCAAAACAAAAACCTCCATTTTTTTCAATGTCTAATTGAATTGAGTGCTCCCAATTCTTTGCCCTAATTTTGACATTTTGATTTTGAAAAATGAATGATTATAGTAATAATCAGCTGGATTCATTCGACGATTGCTGGACTGACTTAATTGATTGCAGCAGCCTCTTGGACGACGGCGTTCCGGCGGCGGCCGATCTATATTGGAACCCTCAGCCGCCCATCCAAAAGTGAGCCCCTATCTCAATTATTTTTATTTCATTTATCATCATTGTTTAAATTGGTTAGAACCCCTGCGCGTGTGCGCGTGTGCGATGCGTGTGATTGTGTGTTTCTGTTAGTTTATCTTCTCTTCCTTCTGTATGTAAGAGATTTGTCTCCAATATTTAGGGATTTCAGCTTCTGTTCTCTGTTTGGAATTCAAAATACCTGAGGGGAAAATTAGAAAATTAATAAAAAAAAAAAAAAACCTTTTTTTTTGTTTTCATTTTAATTTTATTTTGTGAAAAAAAATTATTTTGTGAAATTTTATACAAAATGTGGAGTAGAATGATTGGTCAAGAGGGGCGTTTTGGCCGTTTCGCCAGCCGTCTCTAGAGCTTTTTTACTTTTTCGATATCGTTAAATTTGATACATTATCACTTAATCAATAGTAGTGTGATTCTTCTACATAATGATGTTCAAAACAATGATCATAAAAATAAATATATTATTTCGATAAGAAACATATTGCTAGTTGTAATTAGACTTAATTTTATAAAACGGAATATTAAGGATAACCGTTAGTATCGGGAATCATGTGTGAATCTATTTGAGCTTAACTTGTTTGAAGTCCAAATATATTGTGTTGATGTAGGAAATCTATTACCTCTGCATTTTGTCGTATATTTTTACTAGCTTTCGGTTTGTGAATGGAATTATCCGGGCAAATTTACATTACGAGTAAAATTTTCTGCAAGAGTGGTTCTAATAAGACCAACTATTTTTTGTTGCAGTGGTGGTGTGACAATTGATGCCTCACTTAGTGGAATTATATCACAAGTAAGTGAATGCGCCGAAGAACAAGAATGTCGAAGAAAGAGGTAATAATCAAAATGACATATGAACATATTTGAATATTTCGTAAAGCTTCTCTTTAGCTCTTCGGCTATACGAGTTCAAAGAAGTTCTATTTGTGTTTGTCTATAGAAATTCATCCAATATTAGAGTTGAAATATTATCATATTTTGCTTAACTAACCAGTTGGGAATCTCGTTTCTGTTTCTGAGAAAGCTCTAGTATTAAATAATTGAATTTACGTGACCAAAATTTTTGGATGAAGAAACATTTTTTTTTCAAAACCGGAACTAAATTTCTTTTCGGTTTTGTTGACTGCGATTCTACGATTTTACAGAGGACGCAGTAGTGGTCAATGTGGTGTAACGGGAAACAAAGCATGCCGTGAGAGAATGAGGAGAGAGAAATTAAATGAAAGGTATGTATTTCGTATTTTTTTTATATATAAGTCCTTAGTTCATATTATTGAAAGAAAGTTGTAAATCCGAAAATGCTGGAAAATTTAGAACATTCTATGTACTTTGTTTCACACAGGTTCTCGGAACTGTCTTCGGTTTTGGAACCTGGTAGACCGATTAAATCCGACAAATTAGCCATACTCGGTGATGCCATTAGGGTTTTAAACCAGCTAAAAACCGAATCAGACGAGTACAAAGAGATGAACGAAAAACTCTTGGAAGAGATCAAAACTCTAAAGGTATATTCTCCGTTTTATGCTGTCGACTTCTAACAATCGGAATAGAAAGAAAATTTGTCAGAAATAATTTTATTTGATAATAGGCTGAGAAGATCGAACTTCGAGATGAGAAAATGGTGCTTAAGACAGATAAAGAAAGAATGGAGCAGCAATTGAAAACGATGGCTGTTCCTCAGACGGGATTCATGCCAGCTCATCCATCGATGTATCAGGCGGGGCCCAATAAGATGCCCATGTACCCCAACTTCGGTCTTGTGCCTATGTGGCAGTATTTACCGCCAGCTGGCCGTGACACATCTCAAGATCCCGAGCCCTTTTCTCGTGCTGCTTGATATTTTCATAAGCTTGTGAATATGAATTTAATCCGCCGATTGATTAGCTTCGTTTTTTTTCTGATATTCGGCGCTAATTTTTTTCTAGTATTGAATAAGTGGGAAAGATTTCGATTTTCTTGAGGGAAGTGGATTATGTTTTTGCTGAATTAGTCGACGATTTTATAACGTTCGAACTGTGTTGTTTTGGTGCCCGGATTTAGGATTTATTGCTTGGTGTAGTATATGGAGGGTTTCTATTGTTGGTTGAAATCATCTTCTTTTTTTATTTTTTTATTTTTTATTTTTTATTATGCATTAGTTCTTATTGTTGTGTTATTATCAATTTACCCTTTTTAGGGTAAAGTATAACCTAGGTTTATTTACGAAAAAAACCCTTATTATTCATAATTACATCCACCGGACTGCAATTTGTAAGTTTCTTACATTAACACCCTTTTGTACAAGGGGTTGATGTAAGAAATTTACAAACTATAGTGGGCTAGGTGTAATTTCTTAAAAATGGGGGTGGGGGTTTGTAACTAGACTTTCCCTCAGGGAGGTGATTGTAATTTGCCCTTATTAATTGGAATTGGGCTTCTGCTGATGTATTGAGCTTATGATTTTAAGCCTATAATATTGGGCTTTGATCTGAGCATGTAATTTGGGGCTACGGCCCATAATATAAAATTGTATTATGTAGCAATAGAAAAATCGGGAATATTCATATATAATTATACATGATTAATAGTTAGGTATTCTATTCAATATTTTATTTTAATTCGAGAATTTTAGAGTTAAACTTATGGTGCTGCAATTTTTTGAAATTATAAAAGAAAGTCGATTATTGCGGAAAAAAGAAAAAGACAAACAAACAAAAACAAGTGGGAAATGTCAAATGTGGGGCCCAAGGTGGGACCACCTTTAAAGAAAATTGAGAGCTGAATACCGCAATCATTGAATCACATACTTAATGAAATATGATAACCACTTGAAACCAAGACAAGAGGTTGTTTTTTGAAGAAAAAAATCAAAATTAAATGAAAATTTTTGGTGTTGTAATTTGTATTTGCCTATTTTTGGTAACTATTATTATTATTATTATTATTATTATTATTATTATTATTATTATTATTATTATTATTATTATTATTATTAATTGGACTATATTTCTATCTAGCTCGTCTAGATATTGATGGAAAATGAAGGGTACTCCCTAAACTTAGGATAAATTGCAAATAAGGTCCCATCTATCTGTAATTACTAAAATCCTCTCAACTTTTATTTCTTTCTTACACCGACCCCTTATAGTATGGAACTTTATTATTTTAGGAAATATTTCCCAAAAAATGTCACATTATCTGCTCACATTGCATTGCAATGTCACTGCACTTTCTCGATTTTTCAGGGATATCCTCTGAAATAAAAAGAATTCCATAAAAAATCGCACCGCATAGGGTCAGTATAAAACGGAAACAAACGTCCAGGAGATTTTGATAAATAGAAGGGGTATCTTTCGTAATTTAACCTAAGTTTAGGGGTTTTTTCGAGTTTTCCAAAAAATAAAATAATAATAAAAATCCGATCTTTACTGTTGTTTTGCCTCGCCAAAAACAAATCATCACAAAAAATGGTTGCTAGTGAAGAAATTCAGGCGCCGGCCGCCACAAAATACGACCGGAGAGCAGAACTACAGGCCTTCGACGACACAAAAGCCGGCGTCAAAGGACTCGTCGACGCCGGAGTTACCGAGCTGCCGAGAATCTTCATCCATCCACCGGAAAGCCTGAAAGATATCACCACCACCACAACCTCGACCGAATCAACCCACTCCAGTACTTTTCCGGTGATAGATCTCGACGGAATCGACACGGATCCCAGAATCCGCGAGAAGATCGTCGACGAGGTCGGAAAAGCAGCAGAAAGTTGGGGCTTTTTCCAAGTTATTAATCACGGCATAGAAGCCAGAATTCTAGAGGAGATGCTGGACGGAATTCGTCGGTTCAACGAGCAGGAAACGGCGATTAAGAAGCAGTATTACAGTAGAGATTTAACGGCAGCGTTTAAATTTAACAGCAACTTCGATTTGTTCAGTTCTCCGGCAGCTAATTGGAGAGACTCCATTTTTATCCCCGTTGCTCCTAATCCACCTAAGCCGGAAGAATTGCCTCTTGTTTGCAGGTATATTCTATTTTTATAAACTTTTAATTAGTTAGTTAATTAATTAGTTAATTAATTAGTTAGTTAATTAATTAGCTGGGCATATTACAGCCACTCCGTCCCAAATTACGAAAAAAAACCTCTTGTTTCGATAACTACAGTCACCCCTCATTTTAAATATTGGGGAAATTACACCCACATCCCTAAGGTATGCTTAAATAACTTTAAGGTCCTTCTGGTATCGATAATTACACTCACCCCCTTGAAACGTAGTTATAAACTCTAATAGGATAATGCATTGGATACGTTATTACGATAGAGTTCTAACGGACTATTATTATCAGGAAGTGGTGGAGACAACAAAGAGTTATGGGTGATTTAAGAAATATTGGGGGAGCCATGTCACCTCATAACTCCCCATAACTCTATGTTATCTCCACCACTAGCTAAAATTAATAGTCCATTAGAACCCTATCGGAATAATGTATCCAATGCATTATACCGTTAGAGTTTCTAACTATATTTCAGGGGGGTGAATGTAATTATCGATACCATAGGGACCTTAAAATTATTTAAGCATACCTGAGGGGTGTGGGTGTAATTTACCCTTAAATATTTTTACATTAAATTTATGTAACTCGGTTATTCGTATATTCAGTTTGATGGTTCGATTTTACCGATTTAACATTCCTAAATTTACCTTTGGAGGATATTTTCGTAAGATAATGCATAGTTGAGGGGTGATTGTAATTACTCAAATAGGAGGGGAGTTTTCGTAATTTGATCATAACTCAGGAAGTGACCGTAATTTGCCCTAATTAGTTAGTTAGTTAGTAAACAATTAAATACTATTATATCTAATCCAAATTAATCTGATCAATGTAACCATATTTGTGCTTGTAGAGAAATCATGTTAGAATACTCTAAGCAAGTGATGGAATTGGGGAAAACTTTGTTGAAGTTGCTATCGGAAGGTTTGGGCCTGAGCCCGAATCGTCTGATGGAAATGGAATGCGCGGATTCGCTTGCGCTTATCTCCCATTACTACCCGGCGTGCCCGGAGCCCGATAAGACATTGGGCACCACAAGGCATTCGGACAATGATTTTGTATCCGTACTTTTACAAGACAACTTGGGAGGGCTTCAAGTGGTTCACGACGATCGTTGGGTTGATGTTGTCCCGATACCGGGGGCCTTGGTAATCAACATCGGCGATCTTCTTCAGGTATTTTTCTGGATTTTGTTCGTCTTTTAAGGCCTCGTCTGGTTAGCAAGTGTTTTTTTTTTTTTTAATATTCATATCGTGTCACGCTATGAGGAAGTATGAGAGGGGAAAGACCTTATTGAATGTTTGGTTAGTCTAATAATTTTCCGGGTTTGGGCCGCAATTGTGGAGAATATGGCTCTAATCTTGACTAATTGGGAGATAATTTATTGGACCCGACGGTAATATAATTATATAATTAGGTTTTTCTTTCGAAATTGTGAAAAGTTATTGGATTAACCAAATATCCAATGAATTCCAATTATGTAATTAATCACGACTAATCGAGGCCTAAGTAGATATTCATTCGCGCACAAATTGTCTCTTGATTTATTTTTAATGGGTGATATTTTTCAGCTAGTAACAAATGACAAGTACAAAAGTGTGGAGCACAGAGTGTTGGCAAGCAATACCGGGCCGAGAATATCTGTCGCGAGCTTCTTCGGCAGAGATTCCGGGCCGAGCCCAAAAGTGTTGGCACCGATTGAAGAGATGCTGTCCGAAGAGAATCCGCCAAAGTATCGCCCAACCACAGCCAAGGAATATACCGATTTCTTTCGTGCTAAGGGGCTCGATGGCACTTCCGCCTTGTTGCATTTCAGACTATAGATATACTTGTTTTTTTATCTTGTGATGAAAATTATTATGTATTTTGTAATGCTGATAGAAATAAAAGTGTAATTTGTTGTCCGAAACATTTGTTTTGATGTAATAAAACGAAACTTCATCAACCAATTCTAAAAAAAAAAAGAAAAAAAAAATAAAACTCGACTATGTTCTCGTTCACTTAAGTGGGGTCGATTTTGTTTTCAGCTTAAAGTGTGACAGTAGAGGGACTCCGTCGAGGCCATTGGCGTACCGACATGCAATGATTTCTTCTGTGGTGGCACCTCGGTAAATTGGTCGATTTTCTTCGGACAATAATTCCTCGATTGGTCTGTAGATTCGGGAATCGTTTGTTTCTTGGATATGCATCCTGAAAAAGAATGCTACCGAGATTCTTGGACCCAAGTTATTTGCTAGTACTCTGTGGTAGACACTTTTAAACTTGGCATTTGTGATGAGCTGCAAAATAATATAGACGACACGGGTTATTCTTTTTCGAGCGACAGCTAATTTGAAACAGAGAAAAGGGATTACGAAACTCGCCTGCATAAGGTCTCCAATGTTGACTATAAGAGACCCGGGGCAAAAAGGTACATTCACCCACTCATCTTTGTGGAGAACTTGTAGACCACCAATTTGGTCTTGGAGAAGAAGAGTCAAGAAGCCACTATCAGTGTGACTACTGAGGCCCAATGTCGAACAGGGTTCGGGGCAAGGAGGGTAGTAATGGGCCGTGACGTAAAGCCCGTTCTCACAATCCATCTCTTTCAAGTGATCCGATTTTAGCCCGAGTGCCTCCGAGAGGAACCCGAATATTTCCATCCCCAATTTCTTTACGTGGTTCGAGTATTCGATCATGGTGTCTCTGCAAATTTTTAATTTTGTTGAGTTTAACAAAGATTGTCATTACGCTTTAGGTTCGAAATTGGAATATTCCGAATTCCGTCGGTTCTAATTTTTAAAACTTCCGGGAAAACCGAAATAGGAATAAATTTTAGATTCCCAAATTTTAATTTGAATTGTAAGGGTAAATTACAACCACATCCCTGAGGTAAAACTCTTTTGTTTGAGAAATTACAACCAACCCCTGAAATTTGTAAATTTCTTACATTCACTCCCGACAAAAGGTGTTGACGTAATACATTTACAAATTTCAAGGGGATGGTTGTAATTATTGGAAGCCGAAGTTTTTTTTTTTTTGTAAGTAAATCTTATTTCATGGGGCGGTTGTAATTTACGCTAATCGTAAATTGAAATTAGTTTTTCACTGTCAAGAGATCGGTGCTTTGAAATTACGAGTATTAAGAAAAAGTAATTTAAAAAAAAATAAAGATTTAAGATTTAATCATTCTTAACTAGTGATGTACCTGCAAACTTGAGGGATATATTCAGGTTTTGGTGGATCTGGCGCCATAATCAAATAAAGCGTGTCTCTCCAATTAGCGCTTTTAGCTATATGCAAATCAAAGTTGCTATTGTACAAAACCTTCTTCTTGAAATCACGAGAATAATATTCTTTCTTCACACCATCCTCCATTTCATGAAATTTCCTTACATCCTCAATCACTTTATTCATGAAACTTGTAGGAATCCCATGATTCACTATCTGAAAAAACCCCCATTCCTCACTAGCTTCTCTAACTCTATCCACGATTTTGTCGCGCGGACAAGCCGCGAAATCGATAACGGGAACACTTAACTCGGATTTAGTAGAGATCGATTTCTTTTCAAGCATGTATTCCTCGTGGAGGAATATTCGCGGGATTTTTTCGACACCGGAGTCGACGAGCCCCTTCACACCGGTTTTCGTGTTATCGAAATCTTGAACGTCGATGATGTTTTTATCGTATCGAGAGTTGTCGGCTGGATGGACTTTGCCATGAACATCTTTTGTTAGCACCATTTTTTTGTCTGAATTTTGATCAAGTGGGATTTCAAGAAAGAGATGAGATTATAACATATGGTTCACATTAGATGCATTAAATTAGTATTTATATATTTTTATTTTTTCTAATTCAGCATCAGCCTGTCAGGGATCACCTCACATGTGATCTAAAATAAATAAATAAATAATAATTATTGAGATATATATATGCTACAGATTTAGATCACATAAAAAGGCCAAAATTGATGATGATTGATTAAGTAGATGAGATCAAAGTGATGGTGATAATATTGTATGTTATCGAATTGCTAAAAAAATAATATGCATTATTATTATTTTACTAGTAAATTACCGTCATCCCTGATGTAATATCAAATTACAAAAAAAAAAAAAAAAAAACCCTCTTGTTTAGATAATTACAACAGCCCCTTAACTATATTGTCTCACGAAAACCCCCTCCTTCAATAGGGGTTTTTTCATAATTTTATCTTTCCTCAGGGGTGGCCGTAATTTGCACTTGTTTTAATCAAAATAAAACAAACAAAACCTTGTTTTTTCTTGTGTAAGCCCTGCCTGAATAGTATTAGGTCAAGACTTCAATTCACTTTGAGTTTGGGTAATAAAAAGAAAAGCAGAGCACATACTGAATCCAGAATTTAAAATCATCAAATGGCAGATTTGTCTGAAATTTTCTGAACTGTAATAACATGGTCGAAGGAAGAAAAAAAAAAAAAAAAGACGAACGAAAATAAAGGCATTACAGTGCTGCTAGTGATACAACCTCAACAAAACTGACTCTAGTAACAATCAGGCAAATTTGTTAAACGTAAAGTTAATGTACCGACTAAAAACCGATCATTCTTGTTTGTTCCTTTTAATTTGTTTTTGCTTTTGGAGTCTTCTTCTTCAATGATCTCCTTGGCATTGAGTTCTTCATGCCGATGAAGAAAAGCAGAGCCCCAAGCAATGCCAAACTCTATTTAGATAAAAGAAGATGACAATGTGAGCTAATTTACCTTGATAAGTAACTAACGACGTATCTAAAATTGCTATTACCAGTCCATTGAATACTAACCTGAGTAAACTTGACAAAGAGTTGGGCGAATTCCTTCTTGTCAGCTTCGTAATTGTAGAAATCGTACAAGATTGGTGCTGAAATTGCTTGATGCAGAAGCTGTGGATACACAAAGATAAAAACTTTAGTGTCCAAAGATAAAAGTTTGAAACTTTATATCAATGAATATGATTTTTTTCCCGAATGAGAAATACCAGAATAGAAGCTCCGAAAGAGCTGCCGAAGACGAACAAGAGGCTTCCAAGTGCCTTCATTATGATGGCTCCCAATATTAATTGTTTCATCTGAAATAATAATTTCTTTTTTTAAATCCCGAATTTGTAATTACTGATATGATTTCACCATATGAATTTTCCATTAAAGAAAATATATATAGAAGGGAATACTTACTTCTACATGTGGAACTTGAAATCCAGTTTGGGCTGCGACGTGCTTTGAGAGAACATTGATTTTTGGCTTTAAAAGCTTTGCCGCGGGCCCACCATCAACACCAAATTCGTTGAACCTAAATAAGTTTTATAGTAGGATGCATAAGAAAGTGAAAATTTTCACAGCAAAAAACTTCGAAAAGCTCCGATTATTCAAGGGATTTGACTTGTCATTAATCAACTGACATGATGTGGTGTAAAGATGGACACATGGACTCGTTAAATATGAATCTGAACTTTCGACTAATCAAGAATCGAGACATTTATTACAGCTTCACATGATTAAGAACCATCAAAGATTAATTCAATCAACAAAAACTCCAGTGTGTCAAAGATTAAGACAACAGTAAACTAGCAAGTCTGAGTAATCTGTAAATTTCATCACCGAAAAATAACCTAAAACGAGCGTTGTAAAATCCAAATCAAGAAGCACCAACATTCGCAATTCTAATTCAGTAAAGGGTGCAATAGCTTAAATCCTATCTATCCTCGGAAACACAGTCGACATCATCGTCCAGTAAGTCGATTAGCTCACAGTAAGGTAATTGCACTATTATTAGTCAGATTATTACCAAACTCACTAATTTAACATAATTCCATCAAACAACCATGCCTATGATTCCATGAATACCTCATTCTTCCAAATAAAAAATAAAAAACTAAATACAATAAAGGAATCCTGCAATTAAGGTAACAAAACATCAACTGGAAAAAAAACAAGGTTAAAATAAAAGCAGATAAATTGGGCGAGAAATCCATCAGATCCAACGGTAACCAAAAGATGAAAAACAAGCTACATCCAGCTCTGATTTATCTCCAAACACCAACACAAAACATTTAAATGCATGAAAATCATGAAAAAAATTGGACAAAAAACAGAAAATAATGCGTGAGAAAGTATACACAGTAGAGGTGAAAAAGAAGCGCAGATCTGTATAGTAGATACGAAGTCTTACTCTTGGTAAGCGGAGAGAATGAAGACAGAGACAAACAGCAGTCTACCGAGAAAAGATAGGAACGCCATTGCTCTCTCTCTCTCCCTTTCTCTCTCTAGAAATTAGATTTGGGGGTAGACAGAGATTCAATGGGAGTGGGAGAGATTTTAGGAGCTTTGTAATTGTTCGGAAGAATACTAAATAGAAAATGACTTATTTAGGCCTCAGAGTTGTACACTGTGCTGCAGCTGCTGTACTTCAGCTCGAGCAGGAAGAGATAAATGGTAAGGCGGCAAGTAATTTCAAATTTTTAAAAAGATATTGAATATAAAAAAATATTATAATATTTTTAAATTTTGTAGATTCGTTGTGGTTTATAGTTGCGAGCTGCGCGAGTACGAAATGAAAACGATATGTGCTGACTGAACGTGACACGTGGAGGCAGAAAGGGGGACACGTCTAAGCAGCCAATCAAAACTCGTCTGCGACGTATTTCGGCAGGGACGTGGCCGACTGTGGAAGCGCGTCTTGTTCACACATCATTGCAGAATGTGAGAGGTGTTTCTACTCTCTACTGCTCCGGAAATTCAAGTCAAACTAGTTTATTTTATTTTGACCAACAAGTCAAACTATTTTTATTTGACTCATTTCTTGTTCTTCTTTTCCTCTCCCTTGTTTTATTTTCTGTTCTTCGACAACTTCACCAAAAGAAAATTAAAAAATAATTGAAATAATTAATAAATAATTAATAAAGAATAATATAGAAATATGAAAATGAAGAACTCATTTCCAAATTCGAATCGACATACATGGGTCTAACAAGAAGTGGGCCCGGCCATCCACTAGAGTAATTAGGCATGGGCCTAAGGCCCCCCAATTTTTTGAATTGTTTTAGGGCCCAAAACAAAATATAAAATTTATTGTTTTATACATAAAAATACATGTACATTATATTTTGGGTATATTACACTTTCCCCCCTTGTACTTTGGCTAGATATTAATTTTACCCCATTCTACTCTCGATTGCATCGATTTAATCCCTGCACTTGAAAAATTGTCTCAATGTGGCCATCGCTGTTAGTTGTCACAGAATTGACATTAACAATGTTTGATCGAAGCTCTAAAATTACAAAAACGCCACATCCCAGTTTAAATAAATATTAAAAAAAATCAAACAACGAGAAAACATAGTTCACGACACCAGTCAATTTTTTTTTTTAATTTTTTTAATAATTATTTACACTGGGATGGGTGATTTTTTTGTAATTTTTAGAATTAGATCAAATGGTGTGAAGGTCAAATGTCTGACAACTAACAACGAGGGTCATACTGAGACAAGTTTTCAAGTACATGGGGCAAATTGATACAATCAAGAGTAGAAGGGGTAAAGTGATATCGAGCCAAAGTACAAGGAGAAAAGTAAAATTATATATGATACGAGGGCCTCAAATTATTGATTATCTAAGATTAAATAATTTAATGAAAACACGATTATTTTATCGGACTGCGGACGTCTAACAAAAAAACTCCTTAAAATGCAAGATGAGACGTGATAACATAATATTTGTGCATCGACCAGGTAAGTTGTGTTAGGATACCAAACATCAAACAAAGTCCAATTATTAACTAATAATGACTAATCTTCCCAACCAAACGAGGTATTACTTTCCCTAAATAATAGGGGCCAAAATGCTATTTTGAATTTTCTAGTGGCAATGTTTGTAAATAAAAAAGAAATCAGACCTCCTTCGTCTACCTTGCAATTTTCCCTCTGTGGAGTGTGGCGCCGTCCAAAACCAATTCAAATTTCAAACTCTGAAAATCAAAAAAAACCCTCTCTTCCATTTTCTCTTTCCAATTCAAACCAAATCCAAAAACATGCCACCCAGAAAAAAGCCTGCACCCATCGTAGAAGACAACCAATGCCCGGTACTGAGACTCGTCGTGGATAAAGGGCCGCTTTCGGGTCAAACCAACGATTTCCGACCCGGATCCACAATCCACATCGGCAGGATTGTGCGTGGCAACACTCTTTGCATCAAAGACGCCGGCATCTCCTCCAAGCATCTCCGCATCCAAGTCGAACCCTCGCCGGACCCCGCTCGCCGGAGCTGGGCCGTCACGGACCTAGGTTCTTCGAATGGTACCTTTTTGAACGATGTGCAGCTGGATCCGTCCGAACCGGCCGTTCTGTCGGAAGGTGACGTCATCAAACTCGGCGAGCAGACCACCATTAATGTGAGATTTGAAGTTAGTGGAGGCGAGAACGAGGGTGGTTCCGGACACGTGAGGAGGAATGCGAGGCGTGGGGTGAGGAATCAGGTCGAGAAATTGGAAGTGCTTGATGAGAATTCTGAGTTGAGATTGGGTGATGATCAATTGGGGAGTTACAGTAATTTGGGGGCTAGGGTTAAAAATGACAAATTTGGGGATTTGGTGGATGAGTCTGCTGTTGATGGTGAAAAATCAAGGGGAAGAAGATCTAGAAGTTCGAAGAAGGAAATTAATGTGGGGAAGTTGATAATTAACAAGGCGGCTGAAAATGAGGAACAAAGGGTCGAAAAGTTGGCTGAAGACGAGGAACAAAGGATCGACAAGTTGTCTGAAGATGAAGAACAAGCGGACAAAGTGGCTGAGGTTAATGTGAAGCTAGGAAGGAATTTCGGCACAAGATCGACCAGAAGTTCGAAGAACAACGAGAATTCATCGAAGGATTTGGGGACAAGTGGGGTGGGAGTTAGTACGAGGAGGACTAGGAATTCAAGAAAGGAAGATGAAAACATAGTTGAAGCTGTAATGGATTTGGATGTTATTGAAGGCCTAAAGAAACCAAAGGGTAAAAGGGGGAGAAAGAAAAAAATTGCAGAGACTCCTGTAGTAGAAGAAGAGAAGGAAGAACCGAAGTTGGAGAGTGAAATACGTGAAAAAGAGAAAACGGCATCAGAAGCTGGAGCTGATGAGTTTGTGGAGAGAGCGAGTTCTGAAAGAAAAGGTGATGCTGCTGGATTGGCTGGCTTATCGGGGGTTAAAATCGATGAAAACGGGAAGATGGTGGCGGATTTGGAGAATATGACTTTAGGGCAATGGTTCAAATTTTTGGAAGTGTATTTGCCGAAACAAATTATCGACGAAACAGAAGAGATGATTTCCGAGATGAAGCAAAAATCGAAGAAACTACACCAGTTTAAGTTGCAGCACAAGAATGCTAAGGACAAGGGTAAAACGGCGATCGACTAGAGAACGAACCTCTTTCGTGACATTTTAAGGTATTTAGCTATGCATATATTTTTGTTATATATATTTTAGTTCTTGTTATGAATTATTTAGCCAATTATGCTTGAAATGGTATGTTTTTCTTGAAAATTTCCAGTTCACACACACGATGTTCGTAACTTAGTTTGCGTTTATCGGGTCAAATCTAGTTCGTTTGATCAATGAAGCCTATTGTTGTAGAAGCAATTAGCATTATAATTATGTCACTGATATAGACTCATATTTCAAGAAAATAATAATTAAATAATAGATTTACCATCATCATCACAGTAAGCATCTGCATAAGTATCAACTTCAGTTATACAAAGAGAGCTGTATCAGTTACTTGTTGGTAATCTCTATTGTGTGAAAAATACTAATTTAATGAACATGATTTTTATTAATGAAAATTAATATTATATACGCAACATTTATTATGATGTGAGGCTGTGTATCTAATCTACTTCACACGCAAAGTCATGTAATCTTGTGATCCTTTTAACTCTGTTTTCCCACTGATCTTGTTTGTCTGTCTTAATCCAAGAAGTTCAATCCTACACTAAATTCATCTTCTTTATCAAAACTTATACGTTTTTAATATATATATATATATATATATATATATTCATCTTGATACATAAAACAGTTGAAAAAATCACATGCATCAGACCTTCACTTTACAGTATCTGCATTCACAGATACACACAGCACAGCTGCATATAATCTTTTTTCTTTCACAAGAAAACCACTTTAGTCCCACTTTTCTCTTATCCCTTCTTTTTAAATCTTAAATGAATATAAATTTCATAAACCAAGAAAATAACTGAAACCCCCACAAAATTCAAGAATGGCGACGAACGACGAGAAGTATCCCTTAGACTCAAACTGCTACAGAATCATCGAAGAAATCGGCCGAGGAGTCAGCGCTATAGTGTACAAGGCCGTATGCATTACCATGGACTCTGCCGTAGTAGCAATCAAAGCCATCGACCTCGAGCGCTCCGGGGGCAATTTCGACAATTTCCGCCTCGAGGCCAAAACAATGACGCTCCTCTGCCACCCGAACATCCTCAAAGCTCACTGCTCGTTCACCGTCGGGACCCGCCTCTGGGTGGTGATGCCGTTCATCTCTGGCGGCTCTTTGCAGTCAATCATCTCCTCTTCCTTCCCTAACGGCCTATCTGAGCCGTTGATCGCCACAGTCCTCAAGGAAATCCTGACCGCTCTATCCTATCTCCATGGTCAAGGTCATCTGCACAGAGACATAAAGGCTGGTAATATTCTCATAGACTCGAACGGGGCGGTAAAGTTAGCAGATTTCGGTGTTTCTGCATCGATTTATGAGTCCAACTGGTCAACCAGGTCAATGATGCTGACTGACGTGGCGGGGACTCCGTACTGGATGGCCCCCGAGGTGGTGCACTCGCACACTGGGTACAGTTTCAAGGCGGATATATGGTCGTTCGGTATTACTGCACTTGAGTTAGCGCATGGGCGGCCCCCGCTCTCGCATCTACCTCCTTCGAAATCTTTGATCGTGAAAATTACGAAGAGGTTTCGGTTTTCCGACCACTATCAGAAGAGCAAGGATGATAAGGGCAAGGAGAGGAAGTTTTCGAAGTCGTTCAAGAATATGGTTAGTTTGTGCCTCGATCAAGATCCGTCGAAGCGGCCTTCTTCGGAGAAGCTGTTGAGGCACTCGTTTTTCAAGAATTGTCGAAGCACCGATTTCTTGGTCAAGAATTTGCTTCAAGGGTTGCCTTGCGTTGGACAGAGGTTTAGGGGAGGAAAAATTCAGAGGGTTTTATCGTTCAACAGAAGTGATGTTCTTCTCGATGTTGATTTTGATGAAAAAGATGGGTTTTTTTCGGGGGAGAATACGAAACAGAGAAGGATTAGCGGCTGGAACTTCAACGAGGAAGGGTTTAAAATGGAGCCTGTTTTTCCATGCGAACCAAAAGAAGGAAGTGAAAGCATTATCCAAGAAAACGGCAATGAGGGCTTAGTAGCCGTTAGATCGGATTCGAGTCCCGAAGAAACGGAGGGCTCTGATGAAAAGGGTCGAAACACCGATGATGGTTACTACGGAAACGAGGCAGAGAGTGGCAGCGGTGTAAATATGGGAGTTGTGGTGGAGAGTTTAATGTTTTTGGAGAAGAGTTTGGAATATCAAAAGGAACAGGTGGGAGAAATGATTGCATGGATCCGTGGGGAAGAAACTGTAGAGAAGAACAGGGAAGATGAGTTGATGGAGGTGATTACAAAACTGAGGATGGAGATTGAAAGAGAGAAGAAGAAGAGGTGTGATTTGGAGATGGAATTACAGTCTCTCAAGTTACAGATTTGCAGTGAGTAGTAATACTTTTTTCTTTTCAATTTGTGTCAAGTTATATAAATATAAACAATGATTTTAATTTCATAAAAATATTAAAATGAAATGTGAATTGAAATTCTAAACTATGTTGTATATTGGGCCTCATTCATTACTATTAAAACCTTAAACAATTATTTGGGCCCGAATACATTTGCTTGTGAATCATGATTCGATACTTCAAAGAAAACGGGCCCATGCACGGTCAACGCATGGTCAACTTCAACAATCGAAGCTTAGCTGCTTAGGTCAAGATTGACCTGCAAGGGTGGTCTGGTCGGTGGAACAAAACAATGAAGTGACTCAATCTTTGTTTCGATTTCTGATTTTTTTTACGAAATTCAAATTAGTGTTTCGATTCCAACCAAAGAAGTCGTGTCAAAAATGCTAACTTCAATCGGATCGGTTCGATTTCAAGCTAAGTAAGTAATTGAAAATGAAGTGGCATAGAGGAATCAAATGCATGATCAATTTCGATCTTGAAATCTAAATGTATAGCTAAAATTGTCACTTCATCTTTTGGAAATGTGTCTCTAATAAGGGAGCAGAGGCGACACGACCGGCGAGGAGATTTTTTTGAAGCTCTTTATGTATATATAAATATAATGATTATATGAGATACGTAATAATTTGAGGCACAATTAGGACAAAATTGATTGAAAAGGACTATGATTCATTGTATCGGTAAGTGATTTTGGAGTGGCAATTATGAAATTAAATGGTCCAGAAATGAACCCCACTACCCAAAATATTATTATGTTAATGATGCTATGAATTATGAGTGTGACCAAAAAAGTCAGAAACCATGGAAGAATTTAATCCCACCAATATTTTTGAAATTTGTAACCCACAGATTTTTCATGATAAATCATATTCTAAATAAAGACGATCGTTTCCGTACAATTATATTAAATAAATTTATAAGATATGATTAGACCTCCCTCACGTACGAATTTACCATGTGCTTTGCAATAGCCAATATGGATTAGTCCCACGAAAAAAAAGAAAATAATGGAATATATTTTTTTTTTAAATCAAGAATTATGGTTTCCACTTAATTATGAGTAATTAATTTCTAACTTTACCACATCTTCCAATAACCCATGAAATTATTTATCAGTCCAACAAACCAATGATCAAAATGTAACGAATTGCGTCATTTTCAGATATTTCCAGTAAACGTACTAATAAAAACATGGAATTTAGCTCGTAAATTCATTTTGGCTAGTTTTATATACACTACATACTCCAGTAACCCTTTGTGGATTTTTTTTTATGAATTACCTGATTTAATCGGGGTCGTTTCGACGGCGATGAATGTCGTTTTTTTGAGAAGTAATAATGTCGACGACGTGCATCTTTAATATCAAACGCATCTTCACAACCGTCCGCATGTTTTCGTTATTCGTCAACAATACGTACAGTCTTTCGCGCGAGTCTAGGTACTAAAGAACCAACGAATTTGGATATGTAGCTCCACATTTTTCTACTACAGTAGCAAGAAGCTCCTTAAGAGTTTTTTTTTTTTTTTTTTATTCTTAATTGTAATGACGACAAAGAGCTAATGATTCTGATGGCGACGACATCGTAACACTTAAACCAATGGTTGTTAACAATCACCATAAACGTCAATTTTTCCAAACAAGATGCAGAGAGCTATAAATAGTAGCAATGTAGACAGTTAAAGACACGGTGGTGCGAATAGAAATCAAATATTGAGCAAGATATTTTTTGTCGCAATTTTGGAAAGATTCAAACATATAATTATATTGAAATGAAGCATAAGAAAGTGCAATGTCCAAAGTATAATACTGAACATTGACTAGTATATGATACTAGCTAAAAGAGATTAACGAGCTAAAAGTCCCTAAAATTGTGAAATTTATTCAATATGAGATAATTCAATTTGTATTTTTGTATGGATGAAACCAAATTAATAAACGAAATATATTCCATAAATAGGTGGATGAACTTGGATGCATAAATCTAAATGAGGCATGTATGGATGACGTGGCAATATTTGGTGTACCCCATAAAAAAATTGACCCATCCCCAATCATGGTCAATGGTCGTACACACCATAGAGTGGGTAACCATGTGCATCACATTGTACAATTCTTCGCCCTTCATCACAATTTTTAAATTATAATATTACTTAATATATTATAATAATAATAATAATAATAATAATAATAATAATAATAATAATAATAATAATAATAATAATAATAATAATAATAAAAATGCACTAAATGAATTGAACCCAGAAAAAAAGATTAAAACGAAAGATAATTACAATATTGACACTTAGCTTTGTATTGTGAACCAAATCTAATTCAAAGATTTTCAAGAATTTCACAAAAAGGTACAATGTCTATTTCACACAGCATATTTGCTTACATACATGTGTATTATGCTTCATTGGATCAAATTATGCTGTGATACAGCCAAGAGACTAATTAAATTCATTGTTATTATTATTATTTTTATTGTTATTTGAAGAATTATATTTTATTCCGTTTCTTTCAAAAATAGGGCCCAAGAATTATATTCATGATAATGTAAATATACTCGTTTGTGGGCCCATCCACACAAGGAATTAAAGAAATCAATCATCAATAATATTTTTCTATTTTTATTATTATTATCATTTTTTTTTTGAGAAAAGAGTTTAATTTATTAGGCACCCGAGGCCAAAGGGCAAAAGGAAGAGAGATAATCCCCTTCTAGAAAATTTGAAACAATAAGAGAAGCAAGAACATGAGCAGGTTGATTTCCTTGTCTCTTAATAAAATTTAAAGAACAAGAAATAAATGACCTAGCAAGAAACAGACATTCATCAACAATTGCACCAAACGGTTTGAGAGAATGATCTCCGCAACGAAGAGCGTCCGTAACATGTAGACAATTTCCCTCAAATATAAGAGAGTTCCAATGAAAACAGTGCGCCGTGATAATCGCTTGTCGAACTGCTTGAGCCTCCCCTTCCGCTGGAGAAACTCGACCTCGGATTCGCACCACTCGCCACCACACACATAATCCATCTTCATCTCTAGCCACCAATGAAACGTTGAAATAATCTTTATTTGCAGGGAAGTCCGCGTCCACGTTGATTTTAAGTGTTCCTCTCGATGGCGGTGCCCATATAACTGATTGGATCATCTTTGTGACGGTAAAATTGTGAATATGGTTGTTTAAAATTGTGCAAAATCCTCATACATTTTTGCTATTACTATTCGAAGAAGAGCACTAAACGAGTCGAGCCTTGCTGTTTTGGCGGGCTCGAACTCTTCGAGTTTTATATTTTGAGTTTGAGTTCGGGGTCGAGCTAGAGCCCTTTTTTTTTTATTATATATTAATAAATATATATTATCTTTTATTAATATTATTATGTTTTTATTATTATAAACTATAATAAAAAATTACGAAATAAAAAACGAATTCTAATTTATTTATTTATTTAATTATTTATAAGAATTTATTATTTCTTTTATATTAAATATATTTATAATAAAAATAAAAGTATATTAAAATTAAAAAACTTACATGATATAAAAGTAATTGCACGATATATATAATATTTTTTCTTTTCCCAATCAATGAATTTATTATTTAAATAAAAATATTAATTAGTGTAAAAATAGTTTAACTGATCAATTAATATCACTAATGCGAAATTAAAAAATCTATTCACGACTAAGTAAACGGGTTGACCCGGTCCAATTCAATCACAGGCCCAACTTTCAAGGCCCAAAGTCTACTTGACAAAAAGTCAACTTGAAATAGCCACATGTTTTTTAACAACAAGAAGAAATTAGCCACATTGACATAAATATAATGTCAGTATTTAGGGCAAAATCAATGGAGCAAGCAAATCCGATTTCCAAATTTTATTTTTATGAATTATACACACACACACACACTAATTTGATTAGAAGTTAAATTTCATTCGTATAACTTTTAGATAAGTATTTTTAAAACAATATATAATCTTAATTTTTCTAATATACAATTAAACCAAGAAAAATATTTGAATGTTTAAATTTTTTTAATCGAACTATCAAGCATGTAAAAATTAGATGTTCCATGATTATTTTTTGTGAAATATTGTATTTCGTACTCTGATTATTTTCATTAAATATGAAAGATAGAGCAATATATGTATGATTTTATATGGAATAAGTACATTATGTATCTCGGAAACTAATATCCAAAATACGGGCGTTATTATAAGGAAGGTCTATGAGATGCTACACCCGATAAAAAAAAACAACGAATACTTTTGCAGCATAAATCTATACAGACATGGGTGCGTATTATTATGTTCAGCCAATCGTACGGGATCCTCTAGATCGACCGCAGCATAAGCTGCCTGCGTTCTGCAACTACTGGTCTATTCCTTTCTTTTTTTTTTTTTTTTTTTCTTTTTTTTCTTTTTCTT